CCCATTCATCACAAAATATTGCTTCCATCTGATACATCCACCCATGTGCATCTTCTCATTCAAAAATCGGCATCTTTAACTTCCTAACCCTAGCATCTCCACCCCAACTTCCTCTCCCTCTTTTGTTTCCACCCATGCATCGAGGGCAAAGCTCCCTCCTTCGATCATAGCCATATCCCATTCTTGCTTCTCTCATTTCTTGTTTCCATTCCTCCATATTTCTTGGATAACCCTTTCATGTTTCAATTTAATCGCCTCTATCAGAAATCTCTAATCCACCATGAATCAGAGCCCTGGGAGAGGGTTCTTGATGTGGGTTATTTTTTTCCTCGTGTTCCTCTCATTTGATCTCCTTCCCTTCCGCTCTGGCCACAGAAACTCCAATCAACCCTTGATTAGGATTGTAAATTGAGCTGTCAAAAGGGTCTTGGATTGCTTCTTGATAAGCCTCATCATCTCCTCCAAGCATCCCAATCGATTTTTCATGGAAGAAAACCTATCGTTTAAGAAAGAAAACCTTCCTATGGTGGAGAACTTTTCCTCTATCCCAAATTTAAGTTAGCCTGCCTTTTCCTCCGATTTATTCTCATCATCTACCTTTTGGTTGTCATTCTTTATTGTCATTTTCGAAACTTGTATGTCACGATCCCACCGTTGGTTTTAATTGGGGCCATAAAACTCATCACCAATCTTAAGGTTTCTCAACAACCTTAACTCGTCATCCTTCATAGGGAACAGAAGATTCGTCGCCGCCTTCCCATCAAGCTCTTGTCACGATTGTATTATTTCCCAGCTAGCTCTATCATGTTGCATTGAAGTTGCCACCTTCCTGTACACCAATCAAACAAGATCACGAACGCATTTCTTGTGTGTTGCACTCCCGTTAGCCGTCCTTGTACCCCACAACCTCATTGGCCTTCCCTGCAAGCACCAATCATGACTACCTTCCATGTACCCTACAATCCCATTGGCCTTCCCCAAAAGCACCAATCGCGACTGCTTTGTGAGGACAGAGCAGAAGGAAGAGAGCAAAGGAAGTTTCTGATCTCTATAAGTTGTGATCCCGTCGTTTGCCTTCACAAAATTAAAGTTTTAGGTCTCTGTAAACCGCGAGCCTATCTTTGCCTTCTCTATAAGCTTGATCTCGACTGTATCGTCACGGCATAATCTTATCATCGCTTCCCGTTGATCTAGCATTCGCTTCCCTGCTAGCTTAATCACACGCGATCCCATTATGGTTTCCCGGCTAGCCATATCGCAATTGTATCTGAATTTAATCATGATCCTTTTCCTTCTTCCAAGAGTAATAAACTCATGATCCTCTTCTGTGAGAAGAAAACCTTCTTTTCTTATCAAACTCCTAATTTATTATGATCCAAAAATATACATGATTTTCTAAAGAAACTAAGGCAAATCAACATTTTCCTTCAATAACGTCAAATCAAAACGATACAACACGATCAACTTACACAAATGAACAAAAAGAAAAGCACCTACAATTTGAGAGGAAGGTAATTTATCCTAATTCTTTACTGACGTCACGTCAGTCATATATCTAGGGGAGAATTTATGAGGAGAATCATGGAGAATTGTGACTTCTTTCGATGGGCAAATAGGCTCGAAGAATCAACCGCCGAGAGTGACCAGGCGAGCAGAGTATTCCTAGAAGACGGCCTAGCTACTTACATACGCAGTCTCAACTTTAAAATTATTATTATCATATTATTAAATATTATTTTAATAATCTCTTCCCTTATTTTAATAATCATGATACTCACTGTTAAGTGAGGTGTATATCTTATTTTTTTTATTTTTCTGAAATGCATTTTTGCTTCTCAAGTATCAAATATATTGTTATGAGAGTTATGTTGCAAACAATATTACTGCACAGGGGCATCATGGTCATTTTTCCAAAAACAGCTACAAAACAATTGTTTTCCAACAACACAAATAAACTGTCAGTCAGCTTATCCTCAGTAACTGCTGCGCAGCAACTTCCTAGGGCAACTGCTTATTAACAAACTGCAGTTGTCCCAAACAAACACTTAGTCATCCCATTTATGATTATAAGAGTGAAAGGTCTTTCACTAAATATTCATTATCTCATTATGTGACATGAAAATTTCTCGCCTATTTTCTGTGCATTTACCTTATAATTGTCTCGAATGAATATTCCTCATACTATGAAGGATGCTTTGAAAGTTCCTAAATAGAATGAATTGTCTTCAAAGATATAAAATCCCTTGAAAAAGTTACACATGAAAAGTGGTTGATCGACCTAGAGGGAAAACAATTGTCGGTTGCAAATGAGTGTTTATAGTCAAGCATAAGATTTGATTGGCTGCCAAGGAATTCACTCGAATTTATGATATTGATTACTTATATACATTTGCTTTTGTTACAAATTAAATTATATAAAAGTTCTTATGTCACTTGCAGCTAATCTTAACTGTCCTTTACAACACTTTGATATAAAATACATTTTTCAGTGGGGACTTAAAAGAAGTGTATATGGATGCACCTAAAGAATTTAGTAAGAAATTCGGCATAAAGGTGCGTAAACTAAAAAAAAAATTCTCATGAGATGAACCGAGTGCGTGGTTTAAGAAATTTACAATGTTTGTTAAAATTCAAGGGCATACTCAAAAGCTAGGAGATCATACAATTTTCTTCAGACATTCAAAAGACAAGAAGATAGTCATATTGATTGTGTATGTGGACGATATACTTCTCACAGTAGATGACATCTATGAGATAAATCGTTTAAAGACTTCCCTATCATCTATTTTTTTAGACCAAGGACTTAGGACCTCTGATGTATTTCCTTGGCAAGGAGGTTGCTAGATAGAAGAAAGGCATTGTTGTTTCACAACGGAGCATGTTCTTGTTCTACTAAAGAAAATTGGGATAAGTGGGTGTATGCCTGCAAACACTTCAAATGATCCCAATCAACAACTGGGAGATGGCGAAGGTGACTGGGTGCAAACAGTTTGTTATCAAAAGTTGGTGAGAAAATTGATATACTCAACACATACAAGGCCAAATATCGCCTTTGATGTGAGATTAGTAAGTAAATTTATGCATTCACCCTATGAGAAACACCTTGAAACAGTTAAGAGGATCCTCATATGCTTAAAAGTATACCAAGAAAGGGCTTAATTTTTTAAAAGACCAAAATAAAGGCGTACATTAATGCAAACTGGGCAAGCTTGGTTATTAATAGGAAATGACTTTCAAATATTGTATCTATGTTAGATGGCAAAGTAAGGAATAGAATGTGGTTTCACGGAATACTATCGAGTCAGAATATGGGACCATGGCTAATGAAGTCTGTGAGACGTTATGGTTGAGTGAATTCTTGAAGAGTTGTGGATCACAATAAACATGACAATAAGTATTCATAAGCATTGCAAGAAATCCAATCCATCACAATCGAACAAAAGATGAGGAGATGAACCGGTACTTCATAAAAGAGAAGATTGAATTGGAACAATTTAAATGTCATTTATTCTTGTTACTCAATAAATAGCAGATATTTTCACCAAAGGATATTTCTGGCCTAGTTTTGAGCTACTTATAAGCAAGTTGGGTATGATAGATATATATGCTCTAAATTGAGAGGGGTTTTAAAATTTTATGATTTTTTATTATTATTATCTTCCTTTTTTAGTGTTTCCTACTTTTGAAATTTGTTATTGTTAGGTAAGTTGTAATTTTTGTTTCCACATTTTTAGCATGTGGATTTTGTGGCTTTCCTAATGTGGTTACCTCCCCCGCTATTTATCATGTAAATGTTTCCTCTGAAGTCAAAGAGGGATAATTATTTTTGCTCTCCTAAAACAAACACACATCAAAAGTACCACAATTTTAACTTTCAAATAAGATGGCATATATGTAAAAATTGATGTTTAGGAGCTAGATATGTAAATGCAAGTGAATTGAGAGGTACGCATGTAATAATTCCAAAATAAAAAACAGAGTAATTCATATGGATTCATATCACATACATAATTGTATTTTAGTTTACAATAGCAAGCATAAAAATGGTAAAAAGAAATGAACAATTGTATGTATAATAGCTCATAAACATAAATGCAAAAACATACATATATATATATATATATAATAATATAAGTTCTTGCTTGATAATGTGCTGCCTTTGCGTTGCATTTGTAACTCTGGCATTTTGCTTGTACAAGCAATACAAATCACTTTCGAGGGTATGTAAACAATCCACATCATGACATTAGAGAACCCTATCGTGGACTAGTTTATTTATCAAGGTGAGAGCAACGACAACAATATTTCACACTACACAAGGTTGCCAAATGAAACCTTATATATTCATATATTTCATAAATAATTGCATAAATAGCTTGGTGTAACATAAATGAAATTGTAAAAGAGAGATCTATATGAATCCCCTGCAGCCGTTTTCATTTGTTCGAAATAAACTGGTATTATTATTTTTAAAACATCTGAAATGAATTGCATGTTAGCATGTCTCAAAACTATTATTTTTTTGAACTTGAACAAAAATAAAATTTGGAAAATAAAACCGCTTACCACATGGCATCTGTAAAACACATTTGTATTATCCATGTTTCCCAAATGAATGGACATAGACATACAACAGTTAAAAGGTATGCCAGCCTATAACCATAAAAATAATGGGCGTTTACATACATAACATACAATTCCTATGCATAAATATCCAAACCCAAACTTTAATTTTTTACAATTATACCACCCGTATCTTTCACACCACATTAAAAATATCACTATCTTAACTTTTAAGAAGTGAAATGCACCTTTTTATGGAAGGGTAAGGTGGAACGTATGTAAAAATTAAAGTATAGGCATTAATATGTAAATACATTGAAATTGATTGGTAAATCTTCCTAAAAATAACAGTTCATATTTCCATTGAGTTCTCCTAAACTTTTAAATTTTATGAATCCTTTCAACCGCTTTCAGATTAGTTGAAAAATTTACAATACCTCCCCATAGCTTGCATAACACCATTGTAAAAGAGAGCTCCTCAAGTTTTCCTGATCCTGCATTAGTTTTTCCAGCTCTTGTTTCCGATTCTCTTGAGCTTCTGTACTATATTCAAATTCTCGGATCTGAAAGCAAAATGGACATAAAAAAGCACATCAATTCTAAGAAAATCATGCTTCTAAAATCATCTGCAGTGATAATATGCATAAATTTTAGACATTCTGCGGCCAAAAGCCAATATAGCCTGAGAACACAAACTGAATAACCTGATTGGAGCTATCATTTAAATATAATTTTTTACACGAAGGACAGAAACTTGCCTGAAAACCTCTTTCACGCGCACTAATTTTAAAATTGTCAGCAACTCTACCAAAGAGTGTTACGGTGTAGAGAGCATACTCATTGTCCTCGTACAACTTTTTAGATGATCTGGGTACCTACATAATTTTACATTATTAACAATACCAAAATGAAAACTAATAGAAGGCCAAAAAAACTGTCATAAAACACCATGCAGCATCATTGAGATCAGAATGAATATAATAAATATTAAGAACTTAATGAAAATAATGAATAGTAAGAACTTAATTCAACAGCGGAGGATGCGTTGAAAGGTCTCGCTTAAAAATATTAAAACAATGAGAAACTTACATACGTAGCACACAATTCTTATGTATTTATATTTTACATATCTCATCCTAAATTTTCATATTTACATACATAGCACTTTGATGCTTTAAACCTATACATGAAAAGGGGTATTTCACTTTTAAAAAGTAGTAATAGTACTATTTTTTATGTGATATTAAAAATTTGTGTGCTGTGTGTGTAAATAAAAATTTAGGTGCAAGATATGTACATTAGAATTATGTGATATGTCCGTAAATTCCCTCAAACAATTTTGCAAGGCAGTTTTGGGGTGCATCAAAGCACAACGGTAAAATTGCCCCAAGCATTCAGTCTACAGGGCATCTGCTCCACCGGACAGGGCATCACATATGGCACGCCGCATAAGGCACCAAGGCGTGCCATATGAGCCATATTAGCTAGGCGATAGCCACATGATACAAGTTAATGTGAATTAAATTATTAGATCACTAAAATTTAACCTAATATAAATACCTCATGTTTATGTAAATAAAATTACAGGTTAAAACAATTTTTCCATCTAATTTTTTAGAATTAAGTATTGTCAAACCAATTTCTCTTCTACAATCCCATGAAAACACTGAAAGACCTAAAACGCAAAACACCTTCACACATTCACGTTCCTCACATCATGATTATCTCCGGGCCTCCACTAACTTATCAAAGACTACTTTAGCGCTTAATGTTCCCCTTGTCAACTCACCGCTCATCATCATGTAAGCCCATATGCCGAATATATGCTAGCATTGTGCCATTTTGACATCTCATTTAATCAGATTAATATATTTGTGTCACTTAACACATTGGATTAGATTATGAATCACATGGTTGTGGACTTCCAATTTTAAAATCTATTTCAATATTTAATTTTATTCTATTTGTTAATCATATTCTCCACTTATTAAATATGAAATATAAAATTCAAATCTTATACCTGGGGGCTTACACCTACCTCATGATGGATAAAATACCTCACCTTAAACCTCTACAATCTAAAAGATTAATTGGTACAAATGCGATCCGGTCAAAAATGCATTCTATAGGCATATGAAAACATATTAACAGATTAACTTACTTTACACAGATATTAAATGGATCAAGTGACTCATCTTAAGCCTCTACAATTCAAAACATTAATTGATATAAATATGATCATTGATTTACACAGATATTAATATGAATTTCTACCAGCATATAAAAGCATACTAACAAATCAACTTACTTTATACAGATATTAAATATTCAAGGTTTTATGCTAGCATGAAAAAGAAGTTTAATAGCTTAAGTTATGACAAAAACAAACAAATTCACATGCAAATGGTGCTAGGATCATAAAAACCCCTTTTTGATCAAGCAAAAAAGTTGCAAAGCACACATTTCAAGATTACTCAGGAATGCGCAATTGATCTAAGTTCAACAGAACCAATTTCCAGATAAGCTTGAAATGATGCATCAACCCCTAGAAAATTTTCAACACATTGCACCAAATTTGCGGCACCTTAGCAGCCGAAATTGAGGACCATACAACAATGAAATTACTAAGCTAGGAAAGATTGACCCAACCTAGTTGGCTCCTTGTCATGTGTGAATAAAGGATGCATGAAAGGACTCTTATCCTAAAAACATCAACCTCGATGTTGGTGGCTAAGGGGCCACTGACTAACCCCTTGAGTCAGCCTCTACATGCATCAGCATGTCCCCGTTATCATGCCATCAGCATGTCCCCGTTATCATGCCATCAGCATGCCCTCGTTATCATGCAATCTATTTTAAAAGATTCAATTTCCATAAGTAATTGTGCATTGGATACTCTATTTCATGCATCATTAGTCTCGCAATACTCTATCAAAGAGAGGAGGTGATCCATGTAAGAATTTTAAGACATTGTTGTCAATTTCAACTAGTAAATTCAAGAGGTGACATGCTTTCTAAAATTTGTTCCTCCCTATGATATGCTGATGAGAATTTCTAAAATGCCATTGTATATTCAAATATCCGATTTGAGACAACAACAACAACAACAGAGAACAATGTTGAAAGACTATCGATCGCTCGGGTCAACCCGAATCTAAGAGGAAAAATTGAGTCAACTTGAGGAAAACATCAAATTATCATGAATTAATAATTGAAAGGTGAACTATTTTCTATTTGTTGATGCAAACAACAAATATAGTCAAGATAAGGAAGAAAACATTTCTCACGAAATCCATGAATAAAGCTCCTTTTTAACTCATTTAGCATTTTTATTTTAAGATTGTTTGGTCACATTAAACATCAACCATCTGATAATCCGATTAGGAGAGTAGATATTTTAGATTCGAATTATGTTAAGAAAGGCAGAGGTAGACATAGAAAGACTTGGACATATTAAAAAATTATCTTAATTTATTAAAATTAAATGAAAATATGACATTCAATAGGACGCAATGGAGAAAAAGGATTCATATAGCAGACCTCACTAGCGAGATAAAGGCTTGTTGTTGTTTTTGTTGTTGTGTAGCATTTTTATTTTATTATGAAAAGATCAGTAGAAATTTCCACATATAATAATGGTTATGTACTCATTGAAAACCAACTTGATCACCACATTATCAACATTGAATATGTCGCGTAAAATAATAAAAAGCATATCTCCTATCATTATCAAAAAACCTGAAAAAGTTCAGGATCTCTACAAACAATGTGTCTAGTTTTTTTCAACGATCCTCATATATATCATTAATTTCAATATCCAAGAGTCATTAGCCCTGCCTTTCAACACTTCTTCTATGCTAGCAATTGATAAATGTGAGAACCTTGTCCAAAATCAACAAGCTCAAAGAGAATAAATGGTTATTATGACTAGTTAGCCTTAACTCTCAAAATGAAAGGGTCAATTCACAGATTCTATATAACCCTAGAGCTACTACTTTGAGGAAAGTCTATACTAGAGTATTGCATACTATTTCGAGTTCTTATGCTTCATATGTACAATAACATCGTAATTTTGCTAGCTAGAAAAATACAGACATCAGTAAGCCTAAGTCTCAGAGCAATTATGGAAGTGAAACTCTAAATTCTAGAAATCAAGACTCGAGGATAGTTTGTTACTACTGTCATGAACCTGAACATACAAAGAAAATGTGACAAAAGCTGCTCAAAAATAATCAGAAGGGTTCTAGGACACGGTCAGCTCACATGATCACTACTAATAATGCCTCTCAAGTTATACTCTCTTGATTTTTGCAGATTTATATGTTAAATTCATCTAATTTCAATAAGTATCCAAGAAATCTCCCTCTAAAACTGCCCATGCTGAGTCAAGTAATAATGATACTAATCTTATTTCCTCTTCCACACAACGGATAATTCATTTGGTGCCATAGATCACATGAGAGGTATCCAAAACTATTTTTCACCTTTCATAAACATCTTGCGTCTAATGTTCTTGGTTCTTGCACAATTAATGTTACACCTACATTACATTTAACATATGTCCTTAGTTTACCTCAATTCTCTTTTAATTTTATCTTTGTTAGCAAGATTACACTTGCCCTTAATTGTTGTACATTACTCTTCCCTAACAATTGTCTTTTTAGAATCTTATAACAACAAAGAGTCTTGGTAAAGGACGAGAATCAGGGGGTTATGCATTTTGGATAACGAACTATCTCGACGCATGGTCTATTCCAGCACTATATCTCTGTTTGAGGTTCATTATTGATTAGGGCATTCATCACTACCCATGTTAATAAAATTAATACTTTCTGTGTCGGTAATAATCATCTTTAAATTATGAGTCGTGTCAATTTATTGAACACCATCATTTGTTTTCTATTCCTAGAATTAATAAAAGAGTCATAATTTTGAGTTTGTTCATTCTAATGTATGGGGATCTTGCTCTATTTTATCTAATGGATTTCGATATTTTGTCACATTTGTGAATGATTTTTCTCGTATGACTTGGTTTTATTTTATGAAATCTTATACCAAGTTCAGTCAATCTTTCAGTCCTTTTGTGTTAAAATTAAAATTGAATTTAATGTTTTTTTAAGATTATAAGAAGCGATAATGCCAAAAAATATTTATTTGCACATTTTCAAGAATAAATGAAACAAAATGAAATGTTTCATTTGTCACCGTTTGCTGATACTTCATCACAAAATAAAATAGTTGAAGAAAAAGGATATAAATCTCCTTGAGATTTTTAGAGCTCTTTTGTTTCAAACTAATGTGCCCAAACAGTTATGAGTTGATGCAGTTTTTACTACAAGTTGTTTTATGAATCGGATGTATTCTACTATTTTACAGAACAAGATACTCTACCAAATCTTATTTCCAACCAAACCTCTCATTCTCATTAAACCACGTATATTTGAGTGTACTTAATTTATTCGTGGTACTTGTCCACAGGTCTCTAAAGTAAGACCCTAAGTCATTAAGATGTGTCTTTCTATGATACTCTTGTTTACAAAAAGGGTTATCTATATTTTTTCCCTCTCTTAAACAGGTACATGGCCACTGTTGATGTCACCTTTCATTAAGATGAGTTGTTGATGTATCACATTATCGATTCAAATCCAACACTAGCTCCACCTCCACCACCAGTGCCTCAGCCCATAACTCCTATCATTAATGTTTACCCTAGAAAATCTTGTTCCTCTTATCCTAGTCCAACACCTACATCTTCTTCAGTGGATCCACCTAGTGACCTTAATGTACCTATTGCTTTTCAAAGATGTAAATGTCAATGTGTATATCCCATTTATCCGTGTTAGCTATAACCAGTTATCTTCTACCTCTTGCTCGTTTATTGTTTCTCTTGACTCTGTTGAGGTCCCGAGATATGTTCAACAAGCTCCATCCTAGTTTGGGTGGCAGACAACCATGCTTGTTGAAATGAATGTCTTAACTGAAAATAGAACTTGTTAACTAGTTGAACTACCTTCTAGCAAGAAAAATCTTGGTTGTAAATGGGTCTTTGGAGTTCATTTTTATAATGACGGATCTATAGCTCGTCTCAAAGCTCGGTTGATTGCTAGAGGCTATGCTTAAATTTATGGGATTGATTACTTAGATGTATTCTCTCCAATAGCTAAATTGACTTTGGTTTACCTCTTTCTATCCTTGGTCGCAATAAATAATTGGCCTCTCTACCAACTTGATGTGAATAATGTATTTCTGCATAGTGATCTTTCAGAAGAGTTAAACACGGAGCAACCTCTTAGGTTTGTTGCTCGGGGGGAGTTTGGGAAAGTATGCCATCTTAGGAAGTCATACATGAATTTAAACAAAACCCTCGCGCATGGTTTGGAAGATTTAGCCAAGCAATAGAAAAGTTTGAAATGCAAAAAAATAAGTGATAATAATATATTCTACAGACAATCTACTTTTGGGGTCACTCTATTAGTAGTTTATATTGATAGCATTATTATTACTAGAAGCGGTGTGCAAGGAATCTTATCATCAAAATCAGTTTAACACTAAAAATTTGGATTCCTTAAAGTACTTCTTGGGGATGAAGGTATCAAGGAGCAAGAAGAATATTTTTCTGTCTCAAAGGAAATACATGTTGGATTTGTTAGCAGAAACAGAGAAATCAGGGGTCAAACTATGTAGTAGTATGATGCTTTCAAATCGAGCTTTTAATGATCATGAAGAATATAAGAAATCAATGGGAAAATTAAACTAACTCAGTGTCTCACATTGATACTATGCAATAGTCCAATGCTTCCTACTCGAACTTTTAAGGATCATGAAGAATATAGAAAATTAATGAGAAAATTAAACTATCTCAGAGTGACTCACATTGATATTGTGTATTCAGTTAGCATTATAAGTAGAGGTGAGTATTCGGCCGATTTGGATGAATCGGTTTTAAATTTCATCAAACTGATTACAACCGAAATCTATAATCCAAAAAATCGAACCAATCAAAATTTTGATAAAACTGAACCGATTGAATCAAAATTTTATTTGGTTTTAACGAGTTCGATTATGAAAAAATCAAAATTTTATTCTTTATTAAGATTTGACAAAGAACAAGCATTACAAATAATATAGATTATCCACATAATATTGATTTGATTTCATGAATTCTCTATTTATTTCAATCAAACATTAAATAAAGTAAAAAAATTTTGATTTTCTTAGTTTATTCGGCATAAAATTAAATTATAATAATTTTTTTTAATAAAATAACAATTTTTTGATTTGTTCGATTAAATGAAAATTAAAACTGAACCGAAAACCGAAAACTGAACCAAGTATTGAAATTTTAAAATCAAAAAAATCAAAATAAAATTTTAAAACCGAACCGAACCAACCAAACTTGATCAGTTCGGTTAGGCTTTCCAGTTTTAACCAAATAATGCACACTTCTATACCCAGTCCACCATCGGTCAGCTTTGGAACAAATATTATGTTATCTCAAAGGAGATCCTGGACAGGGTATCCTATATCAGAAACATGGGTATATAAATATTGAATATTTTTCAGATGCATATTGGATAAATTCTAAGATTAATCGGAGATTTATTACTGGATATTGTGTTTTTTGTTGATGGTAATTTGGTCTTATGAAAGAGTAAGAAATGTAGTGTCATGATCCAGTGCAAAATCTAAGCATTGAGCAATGACACAAGCTTCGAGTAAGTTGATGTAGGTCTCTCAATTGTTGGCAGAAATGGGTTTTAAGATGAAAGCTATAGCATACATGTGGTGTAATAATTAAGTTGCAATCCATATTATTTCAAACCCAGTATTTCATGAACGAATTAAGCACATTCAGATGGTGTTCTAAACTTCTAATTTCCTTTACTACTTCTCACTGATCCCTCTTCCTACCTCTTCCCTAGGTGCCTACCAACCATACACCTCCACCACTCTACCTCCACTCATACTATCCCTACAACCTTGCTACCCTACCTACCCACAACCAACTAAACACTATCACAACTACCCAAACAACCCCCAGCATCTCCCATCTTGCCAATGCCACCATCGCCTTCGGATATCTTCCTACTCCCCTAACTAGAGGATTCACCTATTTATTGTATTTTCTTTCTCTATTTGAGTCGTGTTGTAATCCTATTTCTATATTAATAAAAATTTATTTTTGTATTTCATTGTTCTTCCTACTATTTTCGGTATCAGGCATCGTCATGAAACAATTTCTTAGTTCGATTCAATGCAAATTGCCTGGGCCAACCAAGAATTGTCTCCTCAATCTTGACCTGACCACGGAAATGTGCAAACATTATAGACTATTGATGATAACTAACCCAAATGAATTTTATGAATGGAGCTCCTTTTTAGTTTAATATGTTAATGTCAATGATGGAAAAAGTACTTAAAAATTCCAATTCGACAACACTAGTACTGTCTTTATTCATTATAATAATGGTGTTGGATGAATCACATACAGTAAAAGCAATCATGTGTATTAATCATATACACATACATTCAACTATTCTGCCATTATCCACTTCTGCTACATCGACAGCCAACATACGTAAGAAATTACCTTAGTGCCCCTGGCATCTCCTTTTTTTTGCCACGCAAGGGGCATCTTGTACTAAATTCTCTCTTCTTATTTAGAAGTAGGCCATGTATGGCCGCCCGAGCAAGAACCTCTGATATTTTCCCTTCAAGGAAATATTTTTTACATATAAATCCCTTTCTCTTCTATTAAGGTCTCCAGAAACCAATATTAAATTATACAGGTTTGCAGAAGCCTCTCTGGCAAGCAACAACAAGCACATAGGACCACACACAAACATAGCCTACATAAGCATGCATAACTATAGGCAAATATGAAGCGACTCTGGTGAATACAAAAACAAGTAACACCAAATATCGAGGTGAAATGTACACCAGAACTCACATGCATATGTCTACATATCATCATCCATTTTCAACATTAGCTCCCACAAACACCAAACCACAAATTTTGTTAAATTGCACAACTGATTGTCAAACAAATTCCACCTTATCGTTAAAAAAATTAAAGATAGAAAAAAAAAAGATGGGTTAAAACTTGAGGTAGCATAGAACTTAAAGGACTCATCAAAATTAGTTTAAGTTCAATTGCCCAAAGTTATATAAAAGGGAAATTTACAAACATACCACAAAATTCTTATGTATTTACATATGTAACACCTAAAGTTTGATATTTACACTTATAACAATTTGGTGTCATGAACATATGCATGAAGGGTGTATCTCACTTTTAAAAGTAGTGATAGTGGTATTTTTAATGTGACGTTAAGGATTTGAGTGGTATGCATGTAAATATGAATGTTTAGATATTAAATATGTTAATACTAAAATACATAAAAATTAGTATGTATGTAAATGACCCTATACAAAATTAACAGATCTTCAACAAAAGAACGTACTACGTAAGTAGTCAACGTTTCATAGCTTGACAGCCAATCCTTCTGCGAGTACTTCGGAACAATTGTGAGAAGCGTGACCAAATGCTCGGATGTGATGATATCCTCCGCCTTTACTATATTGGAAAGATCGCGAACGGCTAAGCTGAGCATAATGCATTAATGTTAGAAGCAAAGAAAAGAACATAAGAAATTAAACCAATATTATAATAAAATGTATTTAAACAAAACAAAAGGCTTCAAATCAATAATTTCTAATGCATGGATATTAAAAAATTATTAGTTAAATTTCATAAGACCTCCCAGTTTGCTTCCTATTTATTGCATTAAGTTGCCCACGCACAGTATTATATTCCGCAGCACGAATCTGTCAAGAAAAATGAAATTCTCAGTGGAAACATGAAAGCTAGATTATACATAAAGCAAACAAACATGCAGAACCACAAGCCAAGATAATAGTTTGGAAGATTTACAAGCATATCACTCGATTCTTATGTATTTACATATCTAACACTAAAAGTTAAATTTTTACATGTATGCCCACCTTGCCTATGCATGAAGACGTGTAATTCACTTTTAAAAGTTTAAATAGTGGTATCTTATATGTGATATGAAAGTTTTGCGTGGTATAAATGCAAAAAATCAAAGTTTAAGTGTTAGACATGTAAATATATAACAATTGAATAATATGCATGTAAATGCCCCTAAAAGTTTATGGAGCGTGACTTTCACAAAAAAGAAAAAAATATGTAATGATCGCAAAACATCCATCAAAATGCCTAGGTGCCACATAAGAAAGTTTGAAAAACATTAATCCAAAGTTTGACTTGGTTTTGATAATGCTTTCCTTTGCAAATTACTATTGGATAAATTTGTCAAAACACCAGAAGATAAAAAGAATAAGCCTATTAAATTAACAGGTAAATACAATAGCAACCAATTGGCTAAATAATTTTGATTTACCTTTGTTCAAACAAAGGAAAATTTCTTATAAACGGTAAGCTAACACATCCCGGCAAAGAAATCTAAGGGAAAAAAAATCCAAAGTAAAGCATTGAAGAAAACAAATAGGAAGATTTACATACATGCAATTCAATTCCTATGCATTTACATATCTAACACCTAAACTTCAATTTCTACATACATACCACCTTACTTATGCATGAAAAGCTGTATTTTACTTTTTTATAGTTAAAACGGTGGTATTTTTGATGTGACGAGAAAGATTTGGGTGTTATGAATGTAAAAGACAAAGTTTAGGTGTTAGATATGTAATACATAGGATTTGAGTGGGTGTGTATGTAAATGCCCCAAACAAATATAAGTCAATTCAAAACTTCATCATCATGATGTTATTTAGTATTCCCACCCTCACAAGGCACTTGTAATTTTACATTTGAATGAGGCAAAATCTTTTTGAAAATTTAATTAAAAAAAGAGCCATCTACATACATAGCACACAATTCTTATGTATTTACATATCTCACACCCATACTTTCATATTTACACACATAGCACTCAAATCTTTAACATCACACCAAAAAAAAGCAAGATTACCACTTTTCAAAAGTGAATTACTTTTTTTTTCTTAAAATACTCCTTTTTCATGCATAGGTTTAAAGCGCTAAAGTGCTATGTGTGTATATATGAAAGTGGAAGTGCGACATATGTAAATACATAAGAATTGTGTGTTAGGTATGTAAATTTCCCAAAAAATAATTATAAATAACAAAAGAAGTATAGAGGTGAAACCATAAAACAAGACAGAAGAATATAGAACTCAATTCTTATGGATTTACATATCTAACACCAAAAATTCAATTTTAACAAATATGCCTCCTTACCTATGCATGTAAGGGTGTATTTTTTCACTTTAGAAAGTTAAAATAGCGGAACTTTTCATGTGATATGAAAGAATTGGGTGGTATAGATGTAAAAAGTAAAGATAGGAGTTAGATATGTAAATACATAAGAACTGAGTAGTATACTAGAATGTATGTAAATGCCCTAAGAATATGCATGACCTTCATATCATCCTCAATTTTGGCTACTTGACTGTGAATGGTATCAACAATCTCCCGAAGTGGCGATACTGTGGGATACTTAGATTCATCCCAAACGAACCTGCGATTCCAATAAACCGAAGCATTACGTTGATGTGAGTAAGAAATGAATTCCCACCAACACTTTTTCGATTACCTCGTGAGATAGGTATCCACGGGAACACCATCCACAGTAAGAGCCAAGCTTTCGATCCCAGATGCCCGCTCCAACTCTTCGATTTGCCGCCGTATCTTGTGCGCCACCCCTTCTATGAAAGCATTCGACTGCGGAACTTACAAATCAACGACAAAACTGACGGAGAATGCACTCTGATTCGAGAAAACAAAAGGAAATACCTTCGAGAGATCGTCGCTCAGAGAAAGGAGGGAGTCCAAGGTGCCCACACGAAGATCGGGAGTGTTAAACTACAAGAAAAACAAACGAAAATCAAACCTGCTTAGTTCTATAAGAGCAGAAGTAATGGAGATTTCGCTTTCGTCTCGTTTACCCGGTAGAGAGGCGTGTCGAAGGCTTTCTTAGAGATTAATTCCTGCAGTCGGCTCCATAGAGCAGGAGCTGACGATTGGACGGGGAGGGATACCACCCAATACCTCGTCGCCATTGCAAATTCGACCTCCGATCTGTGAGTAACTGTACCTTTACGTGCTCCAGCACAGAGTATTTAGCGGGCGGAATGAGATGAGATTGGGAGATGGACGGACCACGCTTGGTCTGAAATTTACCAAAATTAGTTTTAAATGATTTTTTATTTAACATTTATAAAAATATTTTAAAATATAAATAAATTATATATTCAAATTTAATGGCATAATTATAATCTTTAAAATAATTATTATTATAGAAATATAATTGCTACTAAACATTTAAGATTTAGGAGGATAAAATTTTAAATGTATAATGTAATATTATATAATTATTAAAATCTATGGGATATCTTTAATGTATAGCTTGACATTATACTCTTTTGTTCATATTTTAAATACTAACAGGAGTTGTCAAACAGTTTCACAGTATTTAGTCAAATTTACTAAATAATGCTGACATAAATCATATGAGTTGTCAGACCCTTAAGTGCACTCATTCAACTCGTAATCAAATTGACACTTCGTAAACAAGTCAAATAAATTTAGCTCAAATGTAATCATTTAAGCAAATAAATTATTTGAATACATTATTGTATCAAACGGGCAACCGCAAATTGGTCCAAGTTTGATTGTTGATCCAAGCTATATACTTCATATATTTTCCATAAACAAATGTGCATCCTTTTTTAATTTTTTTATATATTTTTATTGTTAGAGTAATATAATATGTAGGTTTTTAACATGAGAAAATATTTCATCCGATGAATTTGACCTGTCGAAGATGGGGTGGATTGCACCATGTCGCGTTTGGCAGCGTGCTGACGGCAGCATAGATTGCATCACTCTGTGCTTTTGGCGGGATGGTGCCATCCACATTGTCTCCCACATATTCATCATTCAGACATAATATTTTATCTTCTAAGAGTGCTTTGAATTAATCATATAATAGTGAGAGAGCTTGGAGTTATGCATTATCACAAAATTCTATGATATTAATTTTGATTTTTTTTCCTCTCTATTATATTATTTGAATTAACAAGAGAGTAAAAATATGTATTCATGTAAAATCTTTGTGGAAGCTACATATATGAACATAATACTTATGTATTTACATTTATAACTTCTGATCTCATAATAACAAATAATATTTATTATATAATATACATATTTGATGTGTTATCAATAAAGTTTTATCATCAGGCATGAATTTTGATGCATTTTGAGCAAGGAATGTTCTAAATTCAAATTCATGATCATCCATGCATTATTTTAGCAAATTTATACTTAAACTGAGTAACTCGACGATACGAACAATGACATTGATAGTGATCCAATCCAAATCCAAATAAGCTTGCATCAAATAATTAAAGGGTATTTTGAAACTCTAGCATAATATTTGGAACTAATTGAAAGAATAAGGAATTTCAAAATTTTGCATACTCATAACTTCATCAAATTTTACAATTTTTTTTTTTTAATCATGCCGCGATTTTCTAGTAATGACCGCAGACAAATGGTATGGTGGAAAAATGCAGTTTTTTTAGAACACATTCAAAACACAATTTTGTCAAATAGAAAAAATTATAAAACTACGATGCGAAGCCACACCGCCGCCCCCAAACGCTAATTTTTTTTGAAATATCGCATGACAAAACTATAAATAGGCTCTCATTCTTCATTTAAAAGATGAAGAGAACAATAATTAGTGAACAACTAAAACTTAACTCTCAATATCCTCATGATTATCATCGCTTACTTGAGATCATGATTGACCACTAGAGTTTGTCACAGACTGCCGAATGTTATTACCAACCACTATCCATTGTAAACCATCACTGATATTTGTTATAACCTCAAACTACAGCTTTTGTAAGAAACTAAGACTATTATAGTTACCAATGATAGCTTATGTAGTCAACTATGATTATAATAACTATTTTGGTTCTTTTAAAGCTCGGAGTAGCTAGTTTATATGATTATCATCTTATAATTCACTTTTCCAAATAAGCCTTTTTCTTAAACTATCGAGATTGTTAGGAAAAAAAAGAGAGCTCAAAATGGAAATAATAAGATGAAATCAAGCAAACAAATTAGTTTAAGAAAAAAAAAACATGAGAACTTACGTAAAGTTATCCTCGTGCGATAGGTCAAGAGTATGTGTACAAATGAGATCAAACTAAATCAACAAATAAGCTCCCTACATAAGCAACTCATATAATCAGAAAACCAAAACTAATATTTTGTTCCAGGGTCAATAGCAACTCCTAAAGAAATGAGTATCTTTGATTAATTACACCTTGGGGGGTACCGATGAAAACTCTAGATAATAATAACCATGCTTGCAATTTTGTGATATCTAATAAAATTTGTATGTCAAAAGAATGGTTATCTCAACTAGAAGTATCTTGATGCTTCCAAATCCTATATCGAGCCAAAAGCGAGAGGTTAAATCCCTCGCATCCTCAAATGGACGTGGCCTGTCAATAAATGAAGCATAAGAACTAATTGTGTCATCTTGAATAGAACATCCCTATGCTTCAAAGCCCATCAGGTCCTACCCATTAACAATTGAGGCCTATAAGACAACATCAACGAAGTATCAAAGGGAAGACTGGGCTAAAAAAAGAGGTTCACCAAAAAAAAATATGAAAAAATCCTAATCGAGCAAATACAGTGGCTCAGGGTTCCATGGATCTGTCATCCAAATTTATTAAGATGTTAGGTCTACATTGTCATGAAGGTAGTCGACCAAACTCGACCTAAAACCCCTTGTCAGCAACCCCACGTGTTGCTTCATCCTAGGAATCTCGACAGCCCTAAAGTTAGAGGAAGGAAACTCCTAAATCACTATGACTTTATATCGGTTGAGAGAGCAGTGAGGATGCCTCCGAAATGAATAGGAATGAGGAATCCAGCTGCAAAGTCTTAAACCACCCATAAGGAACTTAAAACCTGTATAGTTCGAAGAAGCATTTAATATCTTAATTGCTCTAAACAACCATCTAAGTTGAAATCTTATTTTTGATCAATTAGTTTGGAGAAGCACGAGCACTCCTCCTTGAGACATGCAAACGATGAAGTTATCTATCAAAGATTCTTAAATGTGGAGGCCTTATTAACATGATTTGAGAGATATTCAAGCTATGCAAATCATTTTAAAATTGAGGCAAGGGTCATGCAAGAATGTAAAAGCAGAAAGTAGCTGCTCATTTGAAAATGGTGTAGTTTTATTCATAAGTCTTGATTAAGCTCAATATTTTATTATTAGGGTTTCATAAAAATTCATTTTTATGTCCATAAATAGCCTATATTGTATATACAATGAGCCCAGAAAAACCACAATCATAAGAAAGAGTAAATATCAACACTTTGCATGAAAATAAACAAGTCGGGTCAAGCAAAATAAAAAAGAACTTGGATGTTGTTGGGTTGACAACATATCCCAGAAAGACGAAATGACGGTCAGACTTTGCATATACATGTTTGATCTTAATGTCTATACAATAAATATTGACTTGAAGTTAAAGTATGAGTCACAATTTTACTGCTCTTGGACCTCGTTATACAATTTTGCACATCAAGTGTCTCAAAGCCCTTACTTATACCTTATTTTCTACATAGACTTTGCCCGAACACTCTAAACAAAAAAATACAAGTAAAAATCAAAAGAATTGATATGCAATAAAGATGTTAGCATGAGTTATTGACATGAAATGTTAATGAAACATTTTCAACAGGACGAGAGCTAAGTAGAACTGCAGAAAACATGTTAGTTTTAATCATTACAATTCCTTCCTTATGAACATTACTCCTTGCAAAAGACTACTATAATATGGTAGTGCACAAGTTTAAAACTCAAGAAACACATAAGCGCGACATATAAAATGCTCGATTAGACATAAATCATCAACAATAGTTGAGCATAAGAAAATCCTAATTATACTCAACCATATTCTGGCAAGCATCTAAAACAATGTGTCATGCACATGCATCTAAGTGCGTGCAAAAGTGCGGCTATGGCTGACTTATATTTTTTATGGGTTTGTCATCCCGACTTCATCTTTGAGCGAGGGATGTCTCTTTGAACATCAATGTTTGTGGTGTCCCATTGAGCATCCCAACTTGTGGTGTCTCTTTGAGCGCCCACACTTGCAATTGTCTTCCTCACATATGATATTATATGTACAGGGATGAACACTTGCACACTTCAGGAGGAGTTGGCTTACTTATAGGTCATCTATCACACTCCCTACGACGCCGCCTAGACTGTCGTAGGTATTTCATATTTTGTTAAGTACGAGTCATAATTCTTAGCCCCTGAACTCGTACGAGACACAATACGTGTTCACCTATGTGTGTGATTCTCACTTGTAAGGATCACACCGCTTATTCTGTTTGGCATTTAGCATTTATGTATGTTTGTTATTTGTATTTCATGTGCTTAACATTTTCATGTCATATGTTTGACATTTCTCATATGTCTGTTTCATATTTTGCATGTTTGCAGGTGTGTTCAGTGAGAGCCTCTCGAGTAAGGAGCAAATCAATTTCATAGGTATCATTTTGCTTAATGTAAACTCACTCGTAGTCGATGTCTGCTTGTCGCATGGCGCCCTAGATCCACCGAACAGGCGTAATTCATCTTTCTAGGTAGTCTGTCTCTTTCGCGGATATTGGTTTAAGTTGCCTCCACCCGATCTTGTTTGGGCGGACATTCTTAACCTATCCTTGCGAGGTTTATCGCACATAGACTCTCCACGTTTTACTTTTTCTCTTGTTTGTCTCTTTATCGTATGTCCCTTCTTATTCGATTCCTCTCCTCTTCAAATCATTTATGTGGGCCCCATGTGCCGATAAGCTGCTACCCATTCCGGGATGTGAGAGACTCATTCTTTGCTCGATTGTTTAGCGTGAGCTTTGAAGCATTGGGACTGTTCCCACACTAAATAACATTTCCCAAATGGGCGGCAACCCTCTTTTCGGGCCGCTGCCACCACGACATGCCCATTCCTTCGGGTTATTGCCTTACCGACATACGAAAAGTGCATCAACCTAGTATCTAAGTGTGGGGTAAGTTTGGGTATAGTATGACTTTGACGGGGTCACTTTGCCGACCCCATTCTAAAGATCTGAAGGATCCAAAGGATGTCACGAAGAATGATGACATAAGTTAGATCTATTAGATATTTAGCACAGTCATACTCATGTCAATTCGATGACTTAACTGGCATTGCTCACTGGGATCAACCCAACAAGCAATGCTTGTTAAGGCATCGCGACCGACACGGGGTCACTCTCCTAACGAACCACGAGTGATGTGATCGGTTTGGGATAATCGATCGAGGCATAACTGATTCAACCAGCTACCCCGGGCTAGTTGGCACAATACTTTGGTTTGACCAGATGCTCCATCTGGATCGACCTATCACTTGCTCCTTTGCATGTACATGTTTGTCTGCATGATCCGGAATGGGTAGCGGCTTATCGGCACATGGGGCCCACGAAATAACCTAAATCATCTTAACGGAGATATCTAACGGAGATAAAGCACATCCGAGCCAAAGGGCAGAGGAAAAATTGTCATATCCCAAATGGGCGGCAGCTCATCGGCATCGAGTCGTCAAGGTGATATCAACGAGGTCAAGGAGCGACAATTCTCTTCTCAGTTTTTGTGTTTCAAGATAGTTCGATCTGATCCTGTTCAGATATACATTCTCAACCCATCACAAGTGTATTACCCGTGTATAAACCTTCCACATGTTATTTTTATTTGTTGGTCTATTTGTTTTTGTATATCATTCTTTTCGGGTCCTCTCCTATTTGAATTATTATATGATTCAGGAGAGAGATTTAGTCGAATATGGGAATTATACGACAACATATAAATAGTCAAGCTAACTACTCAGAGTGCTTTAGAGAGAACTGAGAAAACAACCTCCTCCTTTGCAAGGATGAAGATGAACTCTCTTCTTTGAAGGGTCTTCTTTGAAGGGACTTCTCAAATATTGGTGGAGTGGAAGAAGAAGAAGTTGAAGTGGGAAGAAGAGAAAGAAAACTCAATAAGAGCTCTCCCATAAATTTTCAAGCTCCTCTCCAAACTTTCTTAGCTCAAATTTTTTTCTTCCCTCCCCCAAACTTCAGCCTTTATGGGGTTCAAGAACACTTGACTTCCCAATAATGGGAAAAGCTCTACTCTCCTTCACATGATCCTCTCTTTTTTGCCATTTTTCATGTTAAGGACCATGTAAAACCAAATCATCCATTGGTTATGTGTGTCAATCCACGATTTTAAGGGACTGTAAGTTCTTTTTTTTTTTACCAAATTTGGCTTTAATTCGGCCTCATCCTAAAGAAAAAAAAAAAAAAAAAAAAAAAAAAAAAAAAAAAACTAAACAAAACAAATGAAACCGACCCTAGGCACCAAGGGTAAAAAAAAAATCTCCAAACTTCGTGTAGAAGGTTTTTATTGGATCCTTGAGCCATGGGAAGCTCCAAATAAATTTAATATAATCCTCAAGCATTAAGATGTACAATAAAAATATGCTCTATCAATAACAAAAGCCAACCAATGGTGATCACCCTTGGGCACGCTCACACCAGTCAAAACCCTAATATCGTGCCTAAAACGTATGTTGAACGGTTTAAGGGTATGTGAGCTATGAGAAGCTACATATTAACGAAATATGGTCCCATAAATTTAAAATGAGCATGTGCTACATAAAAAAAATTGATGTCAATGGGTGTGCTTGTCAATGTCGCGGACGCATCGGTTCCAACCCTGGTTTTGTGCCCTAAACGCACCTCAGAGAGTTTTCATGGATGTCTTGAGCTATGAGAAGCTATGTATCAATGGAATATGATAATGTAGCATTCAAGTGGACCTCATACACATGTAACATCAAAACTTGATGCCAACAAAATCCTTCAACTACGACTGTTATCAACACAAATTATCACTTATGTAATCAGATCTGGTTGTTATAGCCTCTAGCTATGACTTTTGCAGCCAATTACAACTGTTATAACCATTAACTATGACAATTGTGATCTAACTATAGTTGTTGTGGTCCAAAATACCCTTATATTGTTATACTTGTCAGGCTATTACTTGTAAATTTTTTCCCCTTTTCAAGACATTTCCATTTTTTCCAACATAAATAATGATTGTCTTTTATACTTTTAAACTACATTATAAGCACACTGCATTTTTCTGCAAGAATTTCAAAATTTATAAATTTAATCAGATGGACTTAAAATATAATTTAAAATTACAATGCATTTGAAATTCATTATCTTGTTCGTTGTTAATCTATTTTGAATTCGTTGGAGTTGGCTGAATTCCAAATATACCATTGTGTAACGTGTTATTTGTAGTCGATTGCTAGTCACCACTTTTGGACCTCCCATGTCGGTCTTCATCACTCACCCCAACCACATATTTTACACTTATTTTGTTTTTCGTTGAACCAAACAAAAATATGTGTAGTCATGCAATTATTTTATATTAAGCCAAATTACATTAAATATTCCATATACAATACATTATTTTTCAACAAAGGAAACAATCCCTTAATAATACTTTTTATCAATCTCATAATAATACATTATATCAATACATTATATATAACCATCATTTATAATATATGATTAATATTAGTAGTCATTTTTATCAGTTTAAAACTCTTAACATAAAGTTTCATATACCTATAAAGACTTGCTCTACCTTACATACCTACAACACAATTCTTCTTTATTTACATATCTATCACTTAAATATTCCGATTTACATGCATACCACTGAAATTTGCTAAGATCACATCAAAAATATCACAATCACTATTCTTCTAAAATTAAAATATACCTTCTTCATACGTAAGTTTATGACGCCAATACATTCTGAATATAATAATCAAACTTTGGACGTTAGAAATGTAAACACATAAAAATTGTACCGCGTGCATGCAAATCTCCCATTTATTTAGGGCTCATTCCGAAAGAACTTTGTCGTTCATAGAATTGATATTGCTATCTGTAATCTAAAATGATAAAAAATTATCGTTCTGCCGAAACAACAGCTTTACCCAACAAAAAAAGATTTCACTTATCGACGTTCACTACAACAAAACTGTTAGGTATGACTCATATACCAGATAAGGGACAGATGCTGGAGCGTAACGGAGCGGAAGCATCTGTCCAATCGGGGGAGTTTTCGTTATATTGGCTGCGGTACGTAGGTAATTTTGTAATTATATATTGTATTCCAGAGTTATATATATGTTTGTTTGTAATCCTATGCATGATATCCTGTACTCTTTTTCTGAATTGAAAGAAAGTCGTCGCTCTGTTCCCAAGGATGTAGGCATCTTTGTCGAACCTTATTAAATCTTTGTGGTCTTCTGGATTTGTGTCGATTCTTGTTTTCTTTGCCCTAATTTCTCAACAAGACAGAGCTTGAGGGCATTCTCAAACGAGGCCTAAATGTAATATCACTAAAATTACAAAAATACTAAAAGTCAAAATTTCTCTTTTTAGAAGCAATGAAATTAGAAACTAAACAAAGAGAGCTCATTACATAGAAAACATTAACAACCCACTTCCCTCTTATATATATATATATCTCATGAGACAAATAGTGCTCCTCTTTCACCATTATTCCTTCTCAAAGCAGCTCTTCATACAAATACAGAAACTCAGAACTAATATAAACCAAACATAACCATAACTTATTCAAATTTACACAAAAAACCTTCACCAGTTCCCTTTCCAACAACAAAAAAAAAAGAAAAAAAAAAAAAAAAAAAAAACATTAGTAGAGATCATCCAAGCTCAAGCTCTCCATGGATCCCAACTTATGAGCAGATTCAGCCGAGTTATTCTCGACTTTATCATCACCAAAACTCATCACCAAATCTGCTGAAAACGCAAAGTTCAGACCGAACGACATGTTCATCCCATCTGCTAATGGTAAATAGAGATCAGAATATCGCGCTCTAGCCACCACGATGTCTGCAACAATGGAATCAAATATTCCATCTTCCATTACTGGAAGAGAGGCGAGAGCTGGCTCCGATGTTCCTGCCTTCTTAGCTCTAATCACCTGTAATCAGTACGACGAGCTTCAGTTTCAGTAAGATAAAAACATGGAAGTTTACATGCATACCATAGAAAATATTACATAATTTGTAAATCTGTGCGGACAACCGCGAATAGGGTGGCCATGCCACCATAATTTCACTTAAATGTAACGTGATATTTCCAACCCATCGTTGTCCACATATCCTTATTATGTAGTATTTTCTGGCACACCACACACAACTCTTTTGCTTTTTTACATATCTAACACCTAAAGTTAATTTTTCATGTTTATAACACTTGAAAAATTACATTTCATTTTTAAAAAATTTTAAAAAATTGCATAAGATGACCCACAGCTTTTATGTATATATATATATATATATATATATATATATATATATTCGAGTACCTCACCTTATACTTGAGGGGAATCAAACCCCAGACCATAGGGGCCCGACTAGTACGTAGCGCGCGCGTGCACACACACATATATATACATACAAAACACTAAAGAGTTCTTACATTTACATGAAAATGTGTTTTTCACGTCTAAAAAATGGTAATAATGATATTTTTTATATGATATTAAAGATATGAGTGTTATTTGTGTTAATATGAAAGTATAGGTGTGAGATATGTAAATAAGTTTGAATTTCAACTTAGAATTGTGTGTGCTATGCACATAAATGCCCCCAAAAAGTTAGCAAAAGTGGAATTTTCGATGTGATGTTAATGATTTGAGTGTTATCACCAATGCAAATATAAAAGAATTGTGCAAGTATATATGCATGCAAATGCCCCAAGGGAAATTTACATACACACCGCATAATTCTCACGCATTTACATATCTAACTCCTTAGTTTGGTATTTACATTTATAACAGTTTGGTATTACATAAAAATCTATGCATGAAAATATGTATTTCACTTTAAATAGTTAGTGACAGTGTCAGAGATTTGAGTGATATGTATGTAAATATGAAAGTTTAGGAGCTAGAAATGTAAATATAAAGGAGTTGTATGGTTATGTTTGTAAATGCACCCAAAACTATATAAAGATGTGATTTTGATCTGAAGTTTGAGATATACATATCTGTCTTTCCCATCATCCCTGTAAAGCATGATGAAATCTCCTGATTTAAGTCCATGGCTTCTCACAAACTCACCTTAACAGCAATTTTGACAGTTTTGTTGGATCAAAATGAAAAAATAAGCTGAGCAGAATAATAATTTATATAGCTGTGTTATTACCAGTGTTCTCCAGTATGTACATTCTGCTCTTGTTGTTAGGCCAAAACCTTCAGAATAGAGAGAAAGTTAGAGTCACAAGGCATTTTACACACACAGCACACAATTCCTATGTATTTACATATGTCAACCTTAAACTTTTGTATTTGCACACATAGAACTCCTATCTTTAATATCACATCCAAAACAGCACTTTTAAAAGTGACATGCAATGTACATAAATATGAAAGTTTAAGGGTGAGAAATGTAAATACATAACAATTGTGTGGTACAAATGTAAATTTTATTGATTTTACTGATTCTGAGTGCATGGGTTCAAACCTGAACTTGAATCTCCAGACTCGAGCGGTCTCGGAGTCGGTCATCGGCAACGAAATGCCCTCTCTAGCAGTAAGGATTGGAAGATTGGCCTCTGACTCTTTCTGAAACATAGATTCATCATACCTTTTTTTCATGGAGGAATAATGTTTTGTGATATGTTGAGATTTATTCGTGGGATATTTACATACATGCCAACCATTTCCCTTTAAATTTACATATCTAACACCTAAATTTTGCTTTTTTACATAAACCGCCTTAAAAATTCCACCATTTTAGCTTTTAAATGCTTCAATGCGCCCTCTCATGCATAAGTAAAGCGGTATCTATGTAAGAATTGAAGTTTAAGTGTTAGATATGTGAATACATAGGAATTGATTGGTATGTATGTAAATCTTTCTTTACTCTTTTGGAAGCGGACCTTAGGAAGAACGATTCGTCCTAGCGAGCCGACGTCGCTGTTCCTGAGCTCCTTTTGGAGAAGGAACCTCAAACCAGTCATGGCTGGCTGCAATGGTAAACTTTATGATGTCATTTTGATACTTTTCATCACATAATCGCTGAATTTGAACTAAATTGATTAGAGCTAAGTCATGATTAGACCGAAACACATACTACATGCATGCTAAGCAAGAAGTCCGAAAATCCGGAAATTGTTTTGGACGTGTTTGCTAATTTACACACCTAAACTTTCATATCTACATGCATGTATAACACTTGAATCTTTAATATCACATCACAAATACCACTTTTACATATTTTCTAGAGTGAAGTATGCATTTCCATGCATGAGTTTATGGCAACACTATGTTCTAAATTTACATGTAAAAGTCTGTGTTAGGCATGTAAACACATAAGAATTATATCTTATGAGCTAGGGATGATTGTCACCTTCATTTTATCATAATAAGGGATGAGAATGCTTAGGTGGATGAGTGGTTTGATACACGACAAAAATGCAAAATGAATATAACAATGACAGGGTTGGTGTAGCTCCAGCGGCTAACAAGATTTGAGAGAGCCGTCTTAGATGGTTTGGTCACATAAAACGTCGACCACTGATGATCTAGTTAGGAGAGTAAATGTTTTAGAATTGACTTATGTCAAGAAAGATAAGGGTAGACGCAAAAAGTATAGGCCATATTGCATAAAACATGATCTTAATCTATTAGAATTAAATGAAAATATGACACTCAATACCACTTAGCGGGATAAAGGCATGTTGTCGTTGTTGTTGTTGTATAATAAATTTTTATTCTCATCAAATACCTGAGTTTCACTGGTGTATTATCTCCGAGTTAGTATTGGATAATATTCACTGCTATAAACCTATTCTAAAGCAATACATAAATAAAAATCAATTGCAATATATAGAACTAAGTATCACTACTTGGTTGAGGAGCATTTCCTTTGATCTCTAAAATGATGGGTTTAATAAATATTCCCCTAAAAAAAGCTTTATAATACTATTTATTATGGTCTGGTTAAATGTAGCAATTATAGTCACATGTGAAATGAAATTTGTTATTATAAAAGATTATGTTCTTAATTAATTAACTTACATGAAGATTTTAAAAGTAATCAATATTTCAAATATTTGAATTCCTTAGAGGCCATTTGGAATCCCTTTTATTTCTAATTTTTCATTTTGTAATTTTATTTTATTTTATTTTTGTTTTGATTTGAATTTAAACATGTTTTGCTATTATAGTTGTTTTTAAAGAACTCAAAAAATGTGCCTGTTAATATAAAAAATGTTCGTTATTAATGTTTGATTGTGATCGACTCCATAGTTCATAAATCTATTTATTTAAGAGGCTAAACACGAATACACTCTATTCGCTCGTGTTTAGTCTAAGAGTAGCTTGATTATGCTCTTACATACATTAACTAATGCATATACATATATGTGTACATATACTTGTATAATAATTAATATTAATTTATTTATGAGATTCCTATATTACTATTTGTATGATTATATTCAATATTTGTATTTAAATGAGGATATCAATATAGAGTCTTTGGGATATTTCAATATTTTTTACTTCTCTATTTATCATAAACATACAAATCAATTGACAAATTATAGATATACTCAAATAATGCAAAACTCATTTTTCTATAGTAACAATTAAACTAGAGGCCATTACATAAATGCTATAGCACCCACTCAAATATTAAAATTTACATAATTTACCATAAAGTTCAAACTTGTAACATTGTTCATCCAAAAAAATACACAAACATTTTCGTTAAATTACGAAATAAGTTTAAAAAAAAACAAAAAAAATACAATATTTACAATGAATTTGAATGATTATGCTCCCATCACACAACCCCAAAGTGTTTGGGCATCCATTGTTGCAATATAAAAGCTTGGTCTACAATTTCATTTCCTTCATTAATTAGGATGATGAATGTAAATCTAATTTTGTAATTCACAAAAAAAAAATGAAAATAAAACAAGATTGTAAGTTCACTAAGAGCTTGTTTGATATCTAACTCTTCCATAGCCATAAAACTAATGTTGAATAAACCTAGATCCCAAATTTTCCCTTCAAAAAAACTAAAAAATAAAAAAGGGGGGAATTTACATAAACATCACCCAATTCTTGTGTATTTACATATCCAACATATAAACTTTATTTTTTGAATTTTGACCCCCCAAATCTTTCATATCACATAAAAAATACCACTATGTTAGGGAAAAATATTATCTCAGGAGTACTGATGCATCAGTACTCCAATGTTGATGTGCCACGTATGTAATGGTCCCACTGTGATGCATACGTGACACCTCACCGTTGTAATACTGATGCATCAGTACTATTGAGGTAATATTTTTTCCTAAGCATAGGAGAGATCTCATTTATGTAAGAATTGTATAGATATGTAAATCTTTCATAAAAATAATAAATATATAAAAAAATCATAAAAAATGCAAAACATTCAACCCCAAAATACAATTAAAAAATATATTTACATAAATATCAATGATATTAACATTTTTCATTTTATTTACATATTTATAAAAATTAAACCTTTCCCTATTCCACCGCAAACTCAAAAGCAGGGCGCCCCATAAACAGAACAGAACAAAAATTACAGCAATGACACAGCAGAGTTTGAACTCATTCTTGCAATGAGCAAAAGGAGAAATGCTTATGCTTACAGGTTCTGCTGTAGCGGCAACCGGCGGAGATGGTAAGCAGAAGCGGGGGGGGGGCGGGCGGAAAAAGTGCGCTTTCGGCGACGGGCGGCGAAGCCAGCCTCGCTGCGGAGGTCGGGAGAGGCGGCGCCGCTCGGGATTCCGGCCATGGGGAGAGAGGTGGGGAGAGAGGAGGAGATCGATACTTTCATGGGCGAGCAGAGGGGATGGGGATATCTATGTGGCGGTGGGGCATAGGGGCGGCGGTGAGCTTACCGGAGGTGGCGGAGTGTCCTCTGCATGGGGAGGAGGCCAGTGAGTTGAAGGGACGTGGAGAGGGGTGGTTGGCAGGGGTATAATTGTAATTCAATGAATATTTAATGCAAATGTTGAAGTTGGGGAAATTCTTACGGAAATGAAGGATTTTGAGTTTTCAGTGTTGGGGAAGAAGACAAAAGGAAAGGGAGAAGGTAAACGATATTTAGTTTTGGTTTAGGGTCGGTTTTTTAATCAATCACATTTAAAGAATAGAGCGTAAAATAGAAGAAAGTGAGATCAAAACAAAGAATGTAAACATAATGAATGATGATATTAAATATTGATTAGCCTTTTTGGGAATGATCTAGCTATTTATATATGAGGAGGGTATGATATATGTAGCTACATGTTTGCTCCTATTTTAGTGTGAGCGTTTCAGGGTATTTTGGGTATTTTACAGTTATAGGTTTATGGTTTAGCTGTCTTCTGGCTAGGATTGCTAAGCTTGATTGGCTTCAATTAAGCAAGGATTGTTTGGTCGGCTATGTTGAGTGGATATTTTTGGCTGACTTTTGATGGACTTCGGGTTAGTAGAATTTAGCTCGGTTGGCTTGATTTTGTCTGCTGACTATCCCATTACGGCTGTCGATCCTTTGATGGACTTCGGGTTTAGGCTAGACTATCGAGCAGTGGGTGAATCACCGTAATTCGATAGGTAGCTGGTACCTTCACGAGAGTTTTTGGGATGCTCTTTAATCTTGTCATTACTGATCTTTGGCCCTAGTAGAAGAATCTTGGAGGTCATTGGTGAGGTGGTTGGCGATGCTAAACTTTTCCCTTGAATTGGGTCGTGTTGAGAGGTAGGTCGCTATCTCTTTTAAACTCAATTGGCATTGGTTTTCGGTTCAGATGGCTTGTGTTTGGTTGCTTATGATCGCCCAAACTTCCAATGATGGATCCTTTGGTCTTATAATAGATATCCATTTGGTCTCCTACAAGTGATCCCACTTAATCACACTCATTATCTCTCTGTTCGTTGGATATTCTCGAGATTTATGATGATGTGTTTTTGATGTGTAGTTTAAAATGACGTTGTAGAGAGATTTTATGAGCTCAATTTTAAGTAAATTTGTACTGTATGCACCAAAACTGACAACTCGAATCTAAAAGCAATCAAACGACCAAAGATGGTCGCCGGACAATCTAAGTGTCGGGCTTAAAGAGCATGACCCGAATAAGTCATTCAACGTCCGACTGCGCGAATGAGTCTGCCGGCATGCGATGTTGGTGAATCAAATAAGCACATCACTTATGTTCTCAACTACCTAGACTTCTTGCAAAGACGTTTGGTCACAATAAGCCGGTCGACCGGCTTTACTTCGGTAAGAGCAATTACAACGCGACCGGTAGCCTACTCTGACCGAACTAAAATATATTGACCAGCAGATAACCATCATATTCCATATAAATTATAATTCAAATATAGTATTAGATCAGTAAATTAGATGCATTAAAAAAGAGGTTCTCACATTTGTTCCCTTCTTTATGTAATTGCACAAAAAGTTATCCATAAATAGTAGGCAAGAATATTATTATTTGGAAACAATACATTTTCATGTGATTATGGTATAAGTTTCATATGAATAAAAATCAAAATTTAAGTATTAAATATAAAAAAAAAATTAGAAAATAGATATTTACATGCATATCGCATAATTCATTTACATATCTAACTCCTGAATTATGATTTTTAATATATAACCTCCAAATGTTACATATCACAAAAAAAACATTACTATTAATTAAAAAAAAGTTAAAAGAAATATTTTTATTATAAAGTGATATAAATATAAAAATTATAATTTTGGTGTTAGATATGTCAATAAATATTAATTGTGTATGTAAATCTTAAAAATGTAACAATTACATAAATACCATCTCAAACTTGCTAATTCTATTTTTCAATTCTCACTTAAATATCAAAGTTCGTGGTGAAACCTCTACTCATATTTTTTCACTTTTCTAAAATTCTAAATAATTCGATGTTTTCACGTGTAAATAGTAAATACATCTATTTGATAGTGTAAGAAAATAACCTGGATGGTTCATTTGTGAATATAAATATTTTGGATGGCCTATTCGAGCAAACATTTTTTTTGCCTGACTTAGCTCTACTTGCGGTGCTGGTTATTATTGAGTTATTTTCAGGTTATTTCTGAGTTATTTTTAATAATCTTGAAATAATTCATAAATAACCCGCGATCTTAATTTTTGAGTTAATTTTGAATTATTTTGGGATTATTAAAAAAAACCCAAAAATAATTTAAAAATAACTCAGCAATATGCGCGGTTGTTTGAGCGGGAGGAATGGAAGTTAGGGCATCATAAACACTCCGGCGACGATCCAAATTCTCCGGGCTTCCTCTTCCACATATCTCATTACTCAACCCTAGCTTTTTGATTTTTGCGAATCCTCCTCCTCAATCTTTACCTTTTTCAGAGTTCCCCAAATCCCAGAACACTTCGAAGGCGATTGCCGCGAGAGTCGCGGCGGCGAGACAGATCCATGCCAACTGCGAACTCCTTCCTTCCATCGCTGTGGATTCAGTTAAATATAGTGAAAGGTATGAACTCTTTCTTTTCTTTCTAATTTTTCTTATCGTCAACCTCTAGTTGGTTTTTTTTTTCCACGAACAATTATATTATACTTGATTTTAATTCTTGTTTAGTTGATTTTGAGAAGGTTTCGATGAATGTATTTGAATTTGGGAAGAAATTATCCAAGCATACATACGATGATATGATGCTTTTATGATTATAAATATGTAATAGAATTAAATTGTCATCATTCCCGATGGTCAAATAGGTTCAATGGGCATGGCAATTACTTTCTGTTTCTACTCGAAAGATACAATTCTTGATAAGTTTTTGAACCATCTCAAATCAAGGAAGCATTAATGACGATTTCAGATCTAGCAGAGGCGCTGAAGCCCATACAAGTGCAAATGGGATTCAAATTTCAAGAACCCAAGAATCCATTCACTACTTGGACGCTTAATTTATAACAATCAATCAAACTTTGCAGCAGTTTCAACCACACGTTAAGAACTCTGGTAAACGATTGGAGGATTTATCATGCAGCAAGTGTCCATGTACTTCAACTCAAGAAAATAAGGGTGATGAATGCAATTTTAGCCTGAATTTTCGTCAATCTACTGTACAGAAGAAATCCGCAACATAAGCAATGTCATTTATTAAATCAATGAAAATTGAGCTGCCAAGATTCAACGGAAATGGCGTCAATAACTTGATATTCAAGGCAGAGGATTATTTTGAATTCCACAACTCCCCTGAATTATGCCTACTTTTACAATTATGTGCATATATTTCCTGTTGCACACGATTCAGTTATTCAGCTCACAACTGTAATAACTGCAGGAATTACAATATATGCAATTATGCCCACTACTACAGTTAAGTGTACGTATTTCTTACTGCACATATTCCTTTAGCCATTATGTTTTGTGTTCTTTTTCTTCCTGTTTTGTCTTTACTGGTGTGATTTCTTCTTCCTCTTTCACACCTCATACTTGGCTTTTACTATATCTGGATCAAGGACTAAAGATAAAGCCGTAACAAATTTTCAAAACATTGACAGGTAAAATAAAATCTATGGCTAAAGTTAATTAGTTTTTGGCTACTCGTATCGGATTTGTTATGAAGTTAACTGCAACTTTTAGAAGAACCTCATTTAGAAAGAGTTGTTTCCTATCATGATGACTGTACTACCATAGCACATGCAATCCACATTTTTGAATATGTCGTGTTTATTCAAAATTTGCAACTTATAGTATTCCCATGATTGGCCCTTTAGAGATTTGTTTAGGGGATGTTTGTGGTCACTTTTATCTTGTTTTCTTATATTTATTTATTTTTATTGATATTTTGATTTAAATTAAAACATGTTTGATTGAGTAGTTGTTCTTAAAAACACATGAAATATTTTTTAAACGTTTTGTGTGTTTTTAAAAATAAGTTGATTTATTTAAAAAAAAAAGAGTTATAAAAATTATGCCAACCAAACATATTTTCAAAAATAAAAGAACAAAGTTGAATTTAAAACATGAAACAAAAGTGACGCCGAACTGGCCTTCATGTTCAACATATCAAGTTTTACAAGAAAGAATTTTTACAAGACTGTGATGCTTGTGCACATAATCTCTTAATACAATTTATAGACATTTTGACTGAATATATATTGGTTTTACATTATTCTCAGTACAGATCATACAAATCTTGAGTCAAAATGATCATCTAAAAAGGAAAAAAAAAACAAAAACTAATTGGATGTTGCTTCATATCATTTAAACTTCTGAAAGGACCCCTATATTTTCAGCATTTCATATCCTTATTGTATCAAACTATCATGTCTTTGCTTCTAGCTTATCTCTTAATCCATCAATGGTAGTAGTAGTGTTACTACTTTGAAGCTCAGCTTTTAAAAATCTTTACTGAATTCTCAATGTGTATAAGAGATCAAAGTGAATATCAAACCTTTCTTTCCTTTGTTTATGCAACCATGGTAGCCTTATTTACAAATGGCCTCCACCACAGAAACTTTCAATACACCCGGGCAGGGGTCTCCTCCGAAAACTTCGGAAATAACTGCCACAGAGCACGATTGCTGGCCTACACATTTCTACAAATCAAAAAACCAATCTTTGTTAGATTCTTTTGAACACCTCAATTGTTATGGAGTGTAATTATTACATAAAAATGGGAAAAATTTACCTTTACAAATACATCCTCGGATTTCTTGGCATGACAGCTTCCCAATGAGTAGTTACCACATGAACCTCGAGGATTTCCAAAACTAGCAAACTTTATGTTCGTCATCTTTTTTCCTTGCTCACAATTTAGATGGACTTTTGGATTTTTATAGTCTTTAGTTCGCCAACTAATCATCGATGGCTGCCATTCAGATACATGAGCACAAATACTTCCGACAGTTCGAGTTGCCATGGAAATATTAGATGGATCTCCACCCCACTCTTCAAACAAAACCAGTAAATTGCCTGTTGGGTTTAGCCAGGAGCGAGGAACATGATACCTGAGATTTAAGAATAGGAGGAATTGCTTAGTCTAGGCTTCATTTGCAGGGGCTTATACTTTTCTTCTGATTTTGCTTATAGAAGGTTCTTTCTCCTAACCATAGTTACAAATAAAGGTTTCGTCTTCTGAGAAAAAACCATCATCCTATTTAGCTATAGTTATTTTTTTTTTTGCTACTTTTTAGAAATTTCAGTTGTGAGAAACAAAGTTTAATAATTTAGTTTTCTAGAATATGGTGATTGTAAAAAAATTGATGTTCCAGTTTTTTAAAATGGAAAGAAGTTGATAGCTTTAAAAAATATCTACTTTCCCCAAATTAATCTTACAACATTTACAAATAGATAGACCCATCAGAATCGAACTATACTTTCCTATAAAGCTACTTTTTTAAAGACAAATTTGAAAAAAAACTATGAAAAACTATCATTCAAAGGGATATTTATTGTTAGTTTTAAGGGGAATTTACATACATACCACCCAATACCCATGTATTTACATAGTTAACACCTAAGCTTTACTTTCTACATTTATATAAAGAAAATCTTTCATATCACATAAAAAATACCACTATTTTAACCTTTAAAAAGTAAAGTATGACTTTTCATGCATAGTTAAGTTGGCATATATGTAAAAGATTTGTAGTGTTAGATTTGTAAATACATAGGAATTAAGTTGTGTATATGCATATATTTATACTTATTATTTCCCGCTTTTTCTACTGCAAAAAAAAGTTAAAAAAAGCTTTCCCAAATGAAACTTTAGTTGCATTAATGCTATTAAGATTTGTGCAAGCTTAAACATAAATTACCATTTCTGAGAGGGTTCTCCACAATTACTTAGGCACTTAGTCTCATTGAATTCTCCACGATAGTCGCACTGACTGCAATCACCAGTTGCAATATAACCAGGCCAATATCTGCCTATGCTTTGCCCATTTATCCATAGTTGCCCCTTTCCCATGCTACTCATATCGATCGCCAACGGATCATTTCCCTCTGGTGCATCGAAAAAGGCCTGTGAAAATGAGAATAAGAAAAATTTTGCTTTAAAAGTTTTTAAATGTATTTGAATTTCATTTGGAATAGTATTCACCTTGTACCATATTAATGGCTGTTTTAGAAGTGCTTCTCCCCACTCGACTGAAGAACTACCCGTGAGAGTGTGAAGATTCAGAGCTTCACCTTTCAAACCAATCTGTAAAACAGAAGTAGAAAATGCTTAGCTTCTATAATTCAAAAAAATAATAATAAAAAGACTACTGATATTAAGAGGATGAGAAAGTGTCAAAATGGTCTCCTAATTCTTTGTATTGAGCCAATTTAGTCCCAAAATTTATAAAAATGCCAATTTAGTTCCCAAACTCTTTTAATGCAGGCTAAAATAGTCCTAATTAGGGACTACTAATTTGACTCTTTTATAACATTTGAACTAAAATGACCCAATATAAATAGTCAGGATTATTTTGACATAATACGACAAACCTGATGAGTCCATTTCTGCCATGTAAGATCTCTTCGTCCTCCGTCAAGTCCATTTAACATGACCGGACCAAGAACTCCTACATTCCAAGTCTCGAAATGTTCCCCAACATTCTGCGTTCAATTTATTAAACTCTATTCTATCATTGGCCTTGAATTATAGTAAATTTTAGGTGTTTAAAAAGAAAAGTGCATCAGACAGGAGGCCAATGAAAGCTTACCGGGAGTCCAACCGATGCACTTAAGATAGAAATCGTGTTGTTACCCGCCCACAACTTCACATTTCCAGAATATGTGAGTCTTGGATCCTGCAAACCGCCATAAGCCGAGCCTGCCATGTTTTTATAAGCTTCAAAAATGAGAAAACTGTCAAAATAGTCCTGACTTTTTCATTTTAGGTACAGAGTCTGTAAAAATGCTAATTTAATCCCCAAATTTTTTTAATAAGAGCTGACCACCAATTTAAAGTGTATAGGGACAAATTCGACATTTTTATAAATTTTGGTACTAAAACGGCCCTATGTAAATAGTGAAGGGACTATTTTGGCACTTTACTCCAAATACATTCAATAATAGACCACCAATACAAATTTTGCCACCATTAGCGCTGAATGAAGAATCTGCCTAACCTGCTAGCTGCCCATTGATAAAAACGTTCAAAGAGTGACCTGCGGACATCACTGTTAGAACCGGATAGGCTCCACTTTTCGAAAAGCTTTCGTTTTCTGCTATATCAATACTGAAACGAGAGGATAACAAATATGGCTCAAAATTCCAGTTTTAAAAATACTACCCAATTCCTTTGTAATTACATATCTAACACCTACAGTCTACTTTTTAGATTTATACCACCCTATTATTTCATGTCTTCTAAAAATACCACTATTATGACTTTCAAAAAGTGAAATACACCTTGATATGCATTGGCAAGTTGACATATAAGTAAAAATTAAAGTTTAGGTGGTAGATATGTAAATACATATGAACTGAGTGCTATGTATGTAAGTCTTCCCTGAAAAAAACATTTTGATTTTGAATGTACAAATCATGTCCAAGGAATGAATTATCTGGTACTCACTTTGTCCTATACCATAGGTAATCAGTTTTATCTCTGGTCATATTAAGTTGTTCCAATAATCCCACTGTGGTGAATGATTTTTCATCATCAAAATTGATATCATCACTGTATGATAGCCATGAAAAATTTCCAACAGGATTCATGTTCATCAGTGAGGTCTGAGCTCCTACCTGTAACAACCAACATGCCATTTTTATTTCAGATTTTATTTCATGAGATGTAGAAATTTGCAAACTTGATGGCAAAGGTGATATACCATTTCGGATATGTAGTTCTGAAGAAGAAAAAAAAAACAAAAACTACATAGGAAAATTTACGAACATACCACGCAATTCTTATGTATTTACATATCTAATACCCAATTCTTATGTCATAAACCTATGCATGAAAAGGTGTATTTCACTTTTAAAAATGTAGTAATGGTAGTATTTTTGATATGCTATTAAAAATTTGAATGGCATGCATGTAAATATGGAAGTTTAGGTGTTAGATATGTGAATACACCAGAATTGTGCGGTATGTCTGTAAATGCCCCACCTTAACTATATAATAAAGAATTTAGGTTTATTTCTCTTGTATAAAATTGCAGTCAACAGTTTTGGTGCCATTAAATGTTTGTTTGGGACAGCTTTTTCACAGTTTGCCTGCCAGTCCACGTATTATGGAAAAATTATTCCATACGGATCGGACCCCGCACGCAGCTTGCGTGCAGTGTCCGATCTTGACCGTAAATCAAGTGATTTACGGTCAGGATGTATTCCCGATGTATTTCGGTAGGCCCCACCTAATTTTTTTTTTAACACCACCTAAAATTTTTTTTTTTTTATAAAAAAACAGAAATAATCCGACCGTAGATCACCGTGATCTACGGCCAGAATCAGACACCACTCTGCAGAGATGCATGCGGTGTCCGCACACAATAATTCCTCTGGTTGTTATAATTTTTGGGGCATTTATTGTACAAATCACCCAATTCTTAAGAATTTACATATCTAACCTAAACTTTACCTTTTACATTTATACCACCCAAATCTTTCATATCCAAAAAGTGACACTCCTTTTCATGTAAAAATTGAAGTTTGGGTGTTAGATATGCAAATATGTTCAAATTGAGTGATATTTAGGTAAATATTATTTTATTTTTTTGACCGTTAAAAAATTTCGAAGATGAAAAAAACTCTTTACAATCAGAATGTGGTAAAAAGTGTTTGTCTTTTTTAAATGAGAAGTAAACTATAATATCCACATCATTTTTCAAAAATTTTGTTTTCCTCCTAACAATTCTACAGTTTCTTTTAAATTATCTTTTAACAGAGAATTTTTTATATATGATTGGAGCCTCACCCTGGCAGTGTTGAAAATTGTGGTTTTGCAGTCTGGAAGGATGCTGATGGACCAAGGGGGAAGATCATAACGCATTCCATTAAAGGTAACCTTTGCATAAATTTCAGTATCATAATTGGCAAGAAAAGCTGCACAATCTCCAGAATTTGACCTGAAAACATGTGACTAATAAGTCCATGAATTAAATAGTTAGTTTATGTCCTCACATGATTGCATATCAATATTGATTCTGCACTAGTAATCTAAACTATATGCATTAACATACATGCTACACAGTTCTTATGTATTTACATATCTAACACCTAAACTTTTGCTTTTTACATTTATGACACCCAAATTTTTAGTATCACATCAAAAATATCACCATTTTAACTTTTAAAAAGTGAAAGATACCTTTTTCATGCATAAGTAAAGTGGTGTGTATGTAAAATTTAAGTTTAGGTTTTAGATATGTAAATACATAATAATTGAGTACTGTGTATGTAAATCTTCCTATTTAATAGTTAGAACATGACCATACCTCTTGCGAATTTCCCAGTGTAGTCACAACAGGGTCAGTAGAAACCAAAGCTGTTTCACTCAATTTGATTGCTTTGTGCAAGTCCTTCAAATGACCCCATTTTGGTTGTCTCAAAAGACCTGGTTCATAAAATGAAGTTAAACATCTGCACAATTATGAATAAATAATATACATACATATATATGTAACATAACGGAACACAACATAAGTACGTACATACATACACATATACATACATACATATATACATACACACACAAACATACTTACATACATATATACATACACACACAAACATACATACATATACACACAAATACATGCATGCATGCATACATACAAAATATCTATCCCTAATTGTAGAAGAGTTATGAAATCAGGAATTTGAACTTACATTGTGAACATAGTTAGAGAGCTAGAACTATAATAATTATTACTGAACTAAAAGAAAAGGGGGCATTTACATACATACCTTTTTTACATTTATACCACTCAAATATCTCATTAAAAATTCCTCCATTTTAACTTTTAAAAAGTGTAGTTCTTCTTTTCATCCATAAGTAAGCTGGCATGCAAGTAAATATTGAAGTTTAGATGTTAAATATGTAAATACATAGGAATTGTATGATATGTATGTAATCTCCCCAAAAAATATGTTGACATATATGTGCCTATGTATAGGGAAGATAAAAAAACAACAAAGCAAATAAAAATAAAGAAGAACATCTCTAAAAATGCAGACATAAAAATAATGAATAATATATATTCCTATAAATATTACACAGGTGATAATATTAATAAGATAAAATATCATAACCTAATAACTCTTAACACATTGCGTATGTACTCAATCATGTAGGTTACACCATTGGATAAGAGAATAAATTTGCTCACCAAATTCATCAATTGGGGCATCATAATCATAGCTAGTTGCTATGAACGGTCCTCCAGCTGTGCGTCCAAAGTTTGTTCCTCCATGGTACTGTATCAAAGAGGAATATATCACTTAATTCACCGATACCAATCTATATCTATATATCTATATATATATAAATTAAAAGATTGCCCATAGGCTATTGGATGAGCCTCCCAACCAATCTCATGTGCCTAATAATTCCATTCTGCACATAAGTGAGATTGAATCCGTGACCCCAATAGTCTTACAAATTCTTCCAATCAAAGATTCAAGGTAAACGACACCTTCGATACCAATATATAGACACACACACACACACAAACATACATATATATGTATATAAATACGTATATATATGGAAAATTTACATGCATATCACCCAATTCTTATATATTTACATATCAAACAGCTAAACTATAATTTTTGCATGTGTGCCTCTTTGTCTGTGCATGAAAGATGTATTCCACTTTCTAAAATTCAAAATAGTGGTATTTGGGATGGTGATGGGAAAAACTTAGGTGCGGTGCTATAACTGTAAAAAAAATAAAGTTTAAGTGTTAGATATGTGAATACATAGGAATCAGGTGGTATGTACGTAAATGCACCAAACCCACCCGATGAATCAGAAAATAAGCAGTTCTAACCATATAGTAGTTAGCATAAGAGCCTCCTTTCTGAATAAACTTTGCAATGGAAAACGCCAAGTCCTCAACAGGCCTGTGTGGCACTGGACTTCCAAATCCTGTGAACCTGCGTTTCACTGACTTAAGCTTAGTCTATCACCTGTATCTTAAACAAATCAGAATGATGGATTTGATTAGGGCTGTAATTTTTTTTATTTGTGTTTGATTATTTCTAACTTTATTATTAGTACGAGTTTGCTTAATTTCTATAAGTTTGTCTGTTTAACGAGCCAAATAAGAACAAGTATGTTCATTCGTCTTTAGCTTGATAGCAACTTATGTTTATATATGCAAAAAAATCTCTATTTTTGTGTATGTATATGTTACGCTTGTGTCTAGCCTAAGGGCAATTTTGTCTTCTGTATGTTTCAAGGGAGATATAATCTTTTATTATTGTTATTATTATTGTGGGGCATAAATAAGCTTATTATGTTTAGGGTTTGGGATATGTTTCCTACCTCTCGAATTGTAAGAATTGGGAGAGTTGGTCTATCTCTTGAACTTTAAGTGTATTTTTGTGTTCGTATTGAGTTGTTTGAATTATTTAAGCAAAATATTTATTTGCCTTAATTTATGTGGAAAAAGTGTCGAATTTAACGCCAATGATATTGGTATATTAGGGTTAGCGAATCGGGTTTGTGGGTTGGGTTTAGGTATGACTTGAAATTGAACTGATATGAAAATATTTAACTCGAACCTGACCAAAATATTAACTAGTTTAGAAAGACAAATTTGAACCCAACCCGCCTTTAACCTACAAAACCAAACCCGTATTATCCATTTAATATAAGACATAATAGCTATTCAGGTTAAATTCAGATCGATTTTGATTCAATCTTAGGTTAATTTTGAGTTAGCAGTTTGATTTCGAGTCAATTTTGTTTAGGTGGCTTAACCCGAATCCGGCTCTCATGTTTAGCTTGACAAGTTACAAAGCTCAACACAAACATAAAACTTTGAATTATTTGTTTAATAAACCCGAGTTAAACAATACTCCAGTTTAGTGATGAGCTTAGCTTAGTTACGCCCCCTAGATCTGATTATAGAAGGGAGAATATAGACATTATTACCAGCCAGTCCAAGCTTCTGTAAACATGGCGGGCTTATAAGGTTGGTTTGGACTGAAGTAATCCGCATAAAAACCATTCCAAGTGTTGATCTATCAGGAAGAAAAAGAGAGGAAAAATAATGAAGTACATGACAGAATAGAAATCCTAAACTACAAGAAATGAAAGGCTGTCATAAACATGTGAACCATAAAATAATAGAATTAAAAAGTGGCATTTACATACATACCCACCCACTTCATATGTATTTACATATCTAACGCCTAAAGTTTAGGTGTCAAATACGTAAATACAAATGAATTAAGTGGTATGTATGTAAAACTGAAAATGTAATTAGAACAAAGAAGGCATGTGAACTGCTTACAATAGGATCAGGAGCATCATCTTCTTTGCACATGATCCATGGAACCCCTGTGTCCAATCCTGTAGCCATCTGTGCAGCCCACCCCGCATAGGCTTTTGCTGGCCCGCCTTGATCCCATTCTAGCGGCCCAAACTCATTCTCAATCTACATAATTTTGGACCAAAAAATAAGAAATCTATTAAATCAAAGTTCTATTAATGAATTTTATATTTACGAAAATTCTTATGCATTTACAATCATTTAAACTTTTATATTTGCATTTATAACACTTATATGTCATGAAACTGTGCATGTAATTATAAAAGTTTAGCTATTTGATGTGTAAATACGTAAGAATTGTGCCATATGTATGCAAATGACTCATATTATAATTATTAGTTTATTACATATCTAATTCGTAAACTTTAATATAAACATGTGCTACTCTATTTATGTATGAAAATATATATTTCAAAGTGATATTTTTGATTAGATACGAACGAACTGGCTGGTATAAATGTAAAAAAGAAAAGATTAGGTGTTAGATATGTAAATATATAAGAATTTAGTTGTATTTGTGTAAATGCCCTTTATTATTATTACATAAAAATGATAGAATACTATAAGTTTGAAGATACCTGTGAGAGAATGATGGGGCCACCCTGCCACTCGAACAGCCCTTCAGCCTTCATCATCGACACAATTTTTGCGGTGAAATTTTGCATCGCAGCCTATTTTCTATATATATATATATATAAAAGTTTAATTTTGGAATAAAGCAATTGAGTGAGAGTAAAGGAAAGCTGCATTGCTTGAAGAGAAAGGAACCTAACAAAAGCTGAATCTGACCTTGAAAGGCTCGTTATCAGTTCGAAATTTGATCCCAGGAACATATTTTAGCCATACCGGAAATCCCCTTTTACACCCAAAATCAAAATAAATAAATAAATAAATTAATTAAATAAATAAAAACAACTGGCTTTTATATGCAAAACCTAACTTTTATTTTGAAATAGAGAAAAAATAAATCAACATATTTTGGATTGGGGGTGCCAACAAGTTGACTCATATGGTAAACTGTGAGCTCGAGCTCGGCTTGTATTGGTAGCAACCGAGCTAGTGCAAGAGCTCGAACTCGAACCTCAATTTGGTGGCCGGAGGAGGATGAGGAGGCAATGGGACCTCATCGGAAAATACAACAAAATGATCGGTGATAGGCTAATCGAGTCGGCTCACGAGTGAATGAGTTGAGTTTAGACGAGCTCGAGCTCGTTTAATTAATAAGCTCAAGTTCGAGCTTGAGCTTGTGACTCGACAGGCCTGGCTGGTGACCTCGTTAATTAGCCAAGTTCGAGCCGGTTTGCCATCCGGCTTGGCTCATTTGCCCCCCATTTTGGATGAGTCTCAAATTGTTGTTTTGCTTAGAAATCTTACCCAAAGTTCCACTCAGCGCAAATGTAGGGGCCAATTCGGAGGTTCACATAGAGACCAGCCTGATGAACTAGTTTTATAAATCGAACCAGATCATATCTGTCCTCAAAATAATACTGCAAAAATTATCGAAGTAAGAGAATTCATATGTATGAAAAGATGTATTTTGTTTAAATAAATTAATATCAATGATGATTTTATTAATATTATTTGAAGATAAATGTGTTATGATGGAAACGCTGAAACCTGTCCAGGAGAAGGCTCATGGCGGTTCCAGAAGACATAGGTTTGTATAACGTCCAACCCTCCATCTCTAGCCTTCCCTATAAGATCCCCCCACATCTGATACATCACCACAGACATTATTAGTGAAAAAGAGCCAAAACTGGGGAAGTAAAAGAAGCCATTTTTGTCCTGTAAGAACAGTTTTAAGCTCACCTCTGGAGTGCTTCTCGGGTAGTGAATGGAGCCGGAAAAGAGAATTCTTCTTTGCCCGTTTATGATTATGGCCTTGTGGTCGTAGGCAACAGCGGCGGCGGCCGGGGTCAGCAGTGACAGAAGAACTCCGGCAATCGCCACTGTCACCGCAGGAAAGATCCCAGGCAATCGCCGCTTGGAACCCATTGCCGAGTTCTCTGTTTTCTTTGTCCTTCTTCTTCTTCTCAAGTCAGAAAGGAAGGCTGGATCGAGAGAGCTAGAGACAAAGGGGCGAAGTAATATTTCGACAGTGGGGCCTGGATTGAGAAAAAGCGTGGCGTGGGATTTTGGTATAAAGCTGTAGAACGGTCTAAAAATTATTTTTTTATTCTATAATTAGTGCTGCATTTGCAAATATATCACTAGGTGTATTAGCGAGTCTTGTTAGCTGGAGCGTGACTTGTTAATGACCGCCTCGTTAGTTGAGAGCTCAATCACAAGCTCAAACCCAAGTTTGAGGCTTGATTCATTGGCTAGCAAGTTGGCTCAACCTGTTCGATTTTGGTCATGTCAATGTATTCTACGCTTAGCTGCCATGACACTTTTTCTCTCCCGTTATTGATCACTTAGATGACTGTTTTTGGGTGAATTCTCATTATAATTTCATTTGAGCTTGCAAGCTAGCTTATAAGTCCGTCGTTAGTATTTTGAGTCGAGCTTGAGCTCATCATTTGAGCTTGAGCTTATATTTTGATAGAAGAGCCAAGCTTGTAGGCATGACGAGCTCGACTTAATTTGTTTACAACCCTATATACCACATAAATTTTATACATTAATATATGAATTTTTATATTTCTATACATAGCAATTACATATTTAATATTATATAAAATGTTATTATTTTTGTTGCATTTCAAAAAATTCATGGCGGTAGAGTGATAAATTATTGTTTTAGCATTGCACGAAGATCTAACACAAACAAATAATAGAAGTGTAATATGAGAAAGCAAAAAGAGTTTTACATGCATAAGCCCCGAAAGGTAAAAATCACGGGGCTCAGCCTATTCAAAGTAATCGACTATAAACATGTGTATAGAGATACTTAGTTTTCTCACAACTGTGAGAGTATGATTACAATCTTACATCAGATATAACACTTGTCCATATACAATTTATAGAAACTTAAGAAGTTCCAAGAGGAATCATCGTATTTTGAATACGATGATTGCGTAGTGGCCCCTGGATCTTCAACATAGTGTTATATATTATGGTCGTATTTCATATCTGATGTTAGCAAGCTGGTTTGCTGAAGGTGGTAAACATGAGTGGTCGGCGGTGGTGACGCCAAATGACGTGCGGTGGTTGACGGCTATAAAATTTGGAAGGTATCACTAGGTCATCAATATAATGCAACACATTATGACCGTATTTGAGATACATTGTTAGCAACAAGCGGTCTCTGACAACAAAGATCAGGGATGACTGAGTGTGGTTGACAACGGCTGATGGGCGGTGTTCAATTGTAGTTTACGGTCATAGAGGCTAGAAGATCTTATTAAGTCTTCAGCCCATAACAGACCTTAGAATTCCTTATCTTCTCTCCTTTTTAATTGAATAGAGTGTTTATAGCCTCTAGGATATCAGCATTTTGGTCTTTTGGTGAATAACATTTCCAGTCATCTAATCAAATGATCCATATTGATCCCCCTTGATCACGTTTTTTTTTAAATAATTTGAGTGTTTCGTCGAGACGTTCTATTTGAATATAAATATGTCAAATTTGGAGTCCATTTGACCATTCATTTGACGATACAAAATTTCCAAAATTATTTTTATCACTTGATCTTTGCTTGATTGGATTCAGATCGAACCAATTTTAGTATCATTGGGTTAGTCTTATCGGGACAATTAGTTTGAATATAACCTTATTGAAATAAAGGCCCTAAATGATCTTGAAATTAAATCTAAACTAATTTTCAGTAAAAAAATATCTTAAGATTTGTGTCAAATGATAATATTTTTATATGAGCTATCAATTATTAATATTTTTTGCATGCATGAATTTATAACAATAAAATATTTTTTTTTGTTAATAATATTTTAATAATATTGTAAATATAAATATTAATATAAAAAAATATAAAATTTGTGTGATATCTACATAAATTTTCCTGGTAATCACTTTCATATATTTATATTTTCACTACCTGTGATATTATATATGTTTTGTAGTGCAAACCAGCCCTGCATGTGCGTGGGACTCCACAGTTAGTTTAATTAAAATTAATGTTCTGTTTTATAAAAAATCGATTGAAAAGGATTTATAAGTCATTATATTGTAATGATCCTTCGTCCATGTTTTGAATTTTTAAATGATTGTCGATAACTTTCGGTAGCTAGAATGGTTTTAGCATGTGCAGACTATATTACTTTCTTATATGGAATAATAATAATAATAAAATGCTCTGGAGTCTGCTTTCGAATCAACTGATAAGCTTTATACATTAGGTTTTTTTTTAGTCATGGTTGTTTTGCTTTGTCATTTAGAAACTAGAAAATAGGAGCAAATTTAAGATTATTGTGTGTTTGTTTGTTAAAAATTGACCTGACTTTGTTTATTCAGCTCTAAAAATCATGATTTAAGTCGACCTGATAAATTTTTAGTTTTTTGTTTGGGTTAGGAATTTAAACTTAGTTATTTTTTTGAGTCGGGTTCTAGTTGACACTTAAATTGAAATGAGCTAAAAGTCCTGCTGACCCTAAAATTGATCCGAGATTGACTCGAAATTGAGCCAAATTTGACCTGAATAGCTATTATGCCTTATTTTAAATAGGTTATATGGGTTAAGGTTTAGATTAGCGGGTTGAAGGCTTGTTGGTTCAAGTTGGACTTTGTAACCCTTATGCTATTCAAATTTGAGTCAAACGGATTCTGGTTGAGTTAATTTCAAATTAGACGCAAACCTGACCTGCAAACTTGATTTGACACCCTTGTGTGAGAATATATGTGATGCTAGAGGTGATTTAGAAAACACTAGCAAATAAGCTAGTTGGCTTGGTCAAATCTTCAGATAGGAATATATCAGACATGGATCATTAACTGGTATGAAAACATGAACAATAGAGGGTGTCGAAAGTTGCAAAATGTTGAAAAGGAAAGTGATTTTCTTTTTCGAAATCAGGCAATAGAAAATAGTTCACTTTGTCATTCTTTTGATGGAATAGGAAAAAAAAAAACTATGGGTACCGAGGCTCGCGTACCTCAAGAAAACTTGATTTGGATGAATGGGGAAGATGATAGGATGACATATTATACCGAGGCTCGCGTACCTCATGCTCTATGAAGACACCATTCTCTTGACGCTCTACCCAAGGATGATTGTTAATAACAAGATAGCACTGGTGATGAGGAGCACGCATAGAGCGCTCATAATAATAATAAAATTTGATTTGTGCTAGAAGATTTGCAGTATTAGAACGATTAATTAATATTTTAGTATTATTTGAAAATTTAACATGTACTCACATAATTAAAGTGAGAGGTAGAAATGCTAGAAATTTTTACGTGGAAAATTAAAAAAAAGAACAACTACGGGACATAGCCCAACCAAAAATAATCAACTATAACTTGATAAGTACAGGTACAAGTCTTGTCCCACAAGCGGGAATGAGTTGCACGGTTACATTGTTCATATGCGGGAACTTTAATACTCCATCTTCGAAATGCGTCGCTACGTAGTATTTAGGATGCCAGGCTGCTTCTCAACTGCTCAGTGGCGTAGGCCGTTACTCCGCATAGTGTTCCCTTACTCCATGATGTTGGTCGTTACTCTGAACAATGCTTCATTATTATACTATGTTAGTCGTTGTTCAATAATGTGCTTCGTTATTCTGCAGTGTTGGTCTTGTTCAACAATGTGTTTCGGTACTCTGCAACATATGTCGGGATTTCGCGACAGTGGCCGACAGTGGTAGGAGCAGAAAATGTTTTCCGGATCTTTAGTCCTTTATGGTGTCACAATTGAATGATCTTGGGTTCGTTGGATTCGTCTCATTGAGACACTCAATTTAATTATAAGCTTGTCAAATTTGGATTCCGTTTGACTTTTCAATTGAGCACTAGAAACTCCCAAACATAATTTAACAGCTTGATCTTGTTTTAATTTGACTCTAATTGGACCCACTTTGGTGTCGTTGTGTTCGTTTCGTCGAGCTGGTCAGTTTGACTATAAGTTTATTGAAATCAGAGTTCTAAATAATTTTTAATTGAAATTTGAACATTACTAGTTCAAAAATTATCCTAAGATTCATGCCACGACTCGAGATCCATGTTGGATAATGAAAAATTGTTAATAATTTATTAAAAATATTAATATTTTTTAAAAGAATTATGCTAAATTTAATCATTACGAAAATATAACTAATCATTGATTGTCACAAGTCTATGCTTTTACGGCTTACATGCAAATTCAAAGGCCCAACAATCCAAGAATAAAATACCAAGAAGACGATAATGGATTGATGCTTGCATCATGAAAGCAACTCAAATGAAGTCGCGTCTAGATCTAAATGCCTCGGCAAGTGTCCAAAGATAGTGCACGACTGTTTTTGTGTTAGTTTACTAATTAATTTATATGATTATCATTAGTGTTGTTATTTTGAAAAATGGTTAGTATCATGACTAAAAAAGTATACTATTTTGATATCTTTTTCATTTGAATTAAATAGCACCCATACCATAATGATCAACATTTATGAACTCGTACTGGTTTAATATATATTTGGTATGGAAATTATTGATTGAATGAACATAAATACAATTAATACATTAATAAGAAATTAATTATTTCTATCTAAACTAAATACTTATTTTTTTCATGATATTATTTTATTTTATAAAAAGATGATCTTATATTGCTATTTGTAGCTTCCATGTATATTTGAAGCTCAAGTCTCTTCTTTAATGACTATTACGTGTCTTGACCAAAGGAATGAGAGATATTATGTTCGCTTTGCTTTGTACATCCCTCCCAATCCTTCCAAATGACTAATAAGTGATTTATAAGCTAGTACTTCTTTTATAGCCTTTTACTGCTTATCTCATGCTATTACTATATTCCTTAGCATGAATTATGAACCCTTTCTCAAAGTTCATTAGATAATTTTTGATCTTTCCAAACTTTTTTTCTTTAGTGGTTCAAGATCATGATGTTTATGAGCTTTGGTTCCTTTTTTTTTTTTTTTTAAGTCCAATAATTCATTAGAGATTTCTACAATATTAGATATAGTATTTCAAGTTGAATAACGTCAATTATATTGTTGGAAAGATGTGTATCAAATCATTTCATTAACTAAAATTTGTAAGCGGTTATGGTGTGCACACTGTCATATCAATAGATTACAACTATAGTGAAGTTAGAGCTTCGAAATGTTCTTACTGTATTGAAAAATAAAAAATAAATCTATTCTCAATTTAATAACATATAAATTGATGTATGTATAGAAAATTTCTCAAATAAGATAATAATTGTATAATTTTTATTTGAATTTTTGGGATTGAGATTTTTCATGAGAGAATGTTTAGATGATTAATTACATAGCATGTATGATATCAGAGAACTCCTTACATTTGACCCATTGTTGGTGTTGATTTTCGATCGAATTTAGCATAACCTAGAAAATGAAGGGCGTATTTTGTTATTTTAATGCCTGTAAATGAGTTAATATTGCCTGTACAGATTGCAGGAAAATGATTTTAGCATCAAACACTTCCCAATATTTTTGGTGAATTTTCTTAGGAAAACCTTTCTCATTCTCAAGAGTTTCCTTCTCATTCTTATGTGATTCCTTCTCATTATTGAGTGATTCATACTCGTTCTCAACATGTTCTCATTCTCCGAAGGTTCTCTCTTGTTTTGGAGGGGTTTTTCTTAGCGATTCTCCTTTTGCCTCCAAATTGATCCCCATCCTCAATAGAGCCAAAAAAATCATGACATGGTTTATCTCAATCTCATGGAACACCCAATCTAATTACTCGTTATGTCATATGATGATTACAATAAGATTTATGAGTTATAGAATTTAATGTCACAGTCATATCCGTTTGACAGTATTTTGCGCTTTCATGTACTAATTTTGTATGTAATTATCTTTTAATGATTGGAATCCCATGACCTATATTATTGCTATTATTATTGATGATAACTAATAAGATCATTGCATCTCATCAAATCTTGAGCATAGTATGATCAAATTGTTAATAACTTTGTAACATCGTGCTAATGATTATGACCTTTTAAATCAAAGTCATTGCAGTATTGGCCCAAACTAATGATAGCATTTTTTATAAGAACCCTTTAGTTGGTGGCTATAGATGTGTATATATCGACACAAAGCAAGCTAGAGTTTGAGAAAGACACCAACTTTGGGAAACCTTAAACATGATCCCTCCTTTTTTTAATCTTTGCTCTTCTTTTTCTTACCATTTCTTTCCTCTATAGCATACAGATAATCAATTTTACGACTTACAAGTGATAACAACAAAAATCTTTAGGTTGTGCTTTCCACAATGGATATAGGTCAAGCCAATCAAAGCTCTCTAAAATTAGACTTTTTTTTTGCTTTGTTAAGTGCATCTCTCTCTCTCTCTCTCTCTCTCTCTCTCTCTCTCTCTCTCAATCTTAATTGAGTAATTTCAATTG